AAAAGGCCAGTGTGGCTGCTATTAAAGGGAGATTTGTTTACCCCTTCATGAAGTCTTGGCTCATGTTTGGGGATTGGAGAACTACAGTCACTCTGGGGATTGTTATTTCACAATACTTCCCTGAGTATAATCACTAGCTCTTATAAGAGCTGTTCCTGCTACGCTCTCTGGACTAGGAGAGGTCTACCCACTGGAAGCTGGATCCTGGTCTTGGGTCCAGAGTGGGTGAAGAATGGAGAGACCCCAACCAAGCTGCGGTGGTTCATGGGGTCTATGGTGGTTATGGTGTTCCAGTACAGTGCTTATGGTGCTCGCAAGTGCTAGGAAGCAGCGATTGACGGAGGTACCCAGTCGGGGAGCCAGGCAGTCTATCACAGGTCCATCACAGGCGTCATCATATGAAGTATGCTATTATTGATATTATAGGCATTTATGTAGCACAAGCATATATTGAGCATCACTTTATTAACATAACAGCAAATAATAGACACTGTTACAAATGTTAAGGGGAATAAGAGGTTATCGAACAAGCTTACCATCTCCAGGAATTAAGGCATAAAAACACAAAAGGAAGAATACAGATAAGATCTGCCAGGTAAATGGAGAGGAAAGCAGTAGTGTTAGACAGTAAGAGCGTGAAGTGACCGTGCAGCCAGAAATTATGTTAGAGAGAGGGCTGACAGATTTAAGGAGCGAGAATCACTAAAGTTGGTTATAGGTTTTCTCGAAGAGTCGCGTATATCTGTGAGTTAGTGAATTAAGCATAATTGGGGTAGAGTTGTTAAGAGCTTTGTATGTGAGTGTTAGCATCTTGAATTAAATCCTACAAGAGTCAGGAAGCCAGTATAATGACTGAGACAAGGTGTAAGAGGAAAGAAAAAGAGCCTGGCCTCAGCATTAATTATGGACTGGAGAAAGGCATTATGGGCTATGGAGAGACCAATTAGGAAAATGTTACAGTAATTGATGCAGGAACAGCATGGACACGTTCCCCAGTAGCATCTTGAGTAAGAAAGGGACAAATGTGGGCAATGTTTTCAAGGTGAAAATGTCAGGATTTGGTGACAGACTGGACATGGGGTGTAAATATATTGTCACATGTAACACCAAGACAGTGAGCTTGCAATTGTGGGCTGATGGGTGTACGACCTACTAGCAGGGAAAATGACTGCAGAGGATTAGTGATATAGGGAGTGAAGACAAGAAGCTCAATTTTAAAGAATTGTTATTAAGAAGCAGCCAGAGAGCGGCATGGTTCCCGGCATGGGTCCCGGCAGGGGCGTATCGTTGCGGCGGCGTTGCCACACACTAAGGGGAATGCCGCCAGTCTCCTACCTGTCAGGTCTCCGCCCGCCAGGTCCGCTCATACCCGGAAGCAGTCTGGAGCGGCGGGCACGTCTTGATCCGGCGGCATTCCCGCCGCCCATCACTCATCCCTAGTGATGGCTCCTCCTCCTCTCACAGTGGCCGGGTCTGCAAACATTACAGACGCCGGCCGCTGCAGCTTTGAAGTATTTAAGGGTTTTTCTGTTGAACCCTTAAAAGGCCAGACCATTATTACTCATGTAGGTGTATTACACACCCATGATCACATGCTTCCCTGCAGCCAATCAGGGGGAACCTTAGACTATTTAAGCCTGTTTTGCCCATTTCTCTGTGCCCTGTCATGGTTTCCATTGTGGTTATTCAAGAGTGCGTTCCTTGTATTGATTCTTGTATATTTGACCTTGGCTTCCCTTTTGACTATCTGATTTCTCCATTCCTTGACTCGTGGCTTGTTCATCGTTTCCGTTATTTCCACGTCTTGTCTTTATCCTGTCTTGCGGTCTTTTCCTTTACATGTTAAATCCGGCCAATCTAAGACCCGGTAATATGTCTTAGGAATTTTCTTCATATCTATTTAAGTTCTGCATGTTGGGCATCAGCTATTCCTGATAGTTTATATACGACAAGTCTGCAATCATTCTGCTGAAATAGTAGTTATGATTTCAAAGCACAACTGTCACCTCAGAACTATTTTCTTTAATATAATAATTATTTCATCAAGTTTTGAAAGGAAATAGATAAAACCTCATCCCTACCTTTTGTATGACAGGCTCCTACAGCCAAATACATACACCTTGGGTCATATAGAGTACTTGAAAACTGACAGTTAGTCTCTATGGTTTTTCCTGCTTCACTCCCTGGACTGAAGCAGGGAAGACCATAGAGACTAACTGTCAGTTTCTAACACTGTATGACCCAAAGTGTATGTATATGGCTGGAGGATCCGGTAAAATTCTAAAAGTAGGCACGAGGTTCTTCTCTTTTTTTTGCCCACACCCTGTCCATGTTTTATACCTTTTAGTAAGTTAAAGTATGAGGTAGTATGTATCGCATGCTAGCTTATCATCATTTTAGATGCTTGGCCTAACTACGACTGATTTTTTTCTTTTATTATTATTCCATATGTTGGGCCAACTAGATAATGTTTTCATAATTTGTTCAATGTAGGGAATCCCACCGGGATTTACACACTGTTTTTTCAAGTCAATATTTTGTTTGTTTTTATTTCTTACACTTTGTTAGGTATCCAGAACTTGGTACTCAGGGAAGCATTGAGTATTAGGACCACTGTGTGTATGTTTCAGGGAGTGACAGTGTGTCGTTATGATTGTATGGCTCACTCTGTGTCTGTGTGTGTGTTTGTGTGTGTGTCAGTGTGTTTTTATGTGTCACTGCCTGTGTGGAACCCTGTATGTGCATCATTGAGTGTGTGTCATTGTTTTTGCATGGGTATAGTGATTGTGCGTCAGTGTGTGTCTCTGCCAGTGTGTATTAGTATGTGTATCTAAAAGTGTTTGTATTATTTAGGGAAACTGTATGTCAGTGAATATCAGTGTGTGTACATTCATTCCTCAAATAGATCATAAGATATTATGTGTGTGTTGCTTAAAATGAAAATGCTGGGGGACGGAGCCTAACTGCCAAGCAGGCCAGACGTGCTGTGAATCAGCTCCTGCACAAAGCGCCAAAATTGGGGATAAATACCCAGAAAACAGACACGATTCTGAGCCGGAGGGAACACAACGAGTCAGGGGACCCAAGAGGCATCGAATTAACCCATAAGCGAGATTTACACCGCCCGGGAACCCCACCAAAGCACATGGGGCCTACATGCGACCGAGCCAGGGAGGGGCGGCCGCTCTCCTGGATGGTAAAGCCGAGTATGGACCCCTCTGCACACTCGCCTCCTTCCCCCCCCTCTGGACCGGTGGGGGTCATCCCGGTCCTCACTCGACTCACATAGCAAACAGTACAAGCCTGACCCTGAACTGCAAGGCTGCAGACCCTTACAGAGAGCACCTAAAATGGCGACCGGCAACGCGCCACACATGGCGAACATGCAATCGACACAAACGCCAAGGAAAGCACCCCATCAGAGAGGCGATACTGAACCACTTCTGGGACACACTCATGAAGCGGCAACAAGTAGCCCGAACCATGACACCTGCACCACCGACGCTGGGAGAGCGGACCCGCGGATGGTGGGAAGTGGAGGGAATACCCTTGGGCACAACGTCGCCTCAACTACTCACCCACACGCAACCTAGCCCACCCGGGCGGCAGGCCAAAGGGCAGATAGCCCACAAGCATCGACCACACTGGCGGAGGAACAAGCCAGGCAAGCGACAGGAAAAGACCAGCTCCCCCATCACTCCCACACGTGGAGGAAACCCAGACCCTAGCGGCAGCCGAGTTTGTGGCAATTAGATGCAGGCCACTAAGCCAGCCTGGAGCTGGAGGGACACCCCCACAGACACCCACACAGCAGCGGGAAGCAGAAATCCAGCACCGGACACACACCGCTTAAACAAAAAGGGCGTCGGGTGAAGGAGACACTGCTGGGGGCCTAGTGAACTCACCACAACGGGACAATGTCCTAATGCTAGCCCCTACACGCCATAACAAAGAGGCCGCGGGACTCATTGAGCGACTGGACAAACCAGTGGACACTGAGTTAAACACTATGCGTGCCTAATATCCTGCACAGCAAGTACCATGTTTCTTAGTGTAACGAGTCATACTGAAATACCTCTGATGTTTATAATTTTGTTTGTGCAAGCTTACCTGGTAACCTGGAGGCACAGCGTAACCACACACCGCGCTGTATAAATGCGACCTTATAACATAACATACCGTGCCTCAGACACAATAGTGCAAATTATACAAGCCGTAACACCATGAGACAGAAAGCTTATTGCCAGAATGCTCAAACTGTAAAGAATTTACTGCATTTTTGCCGTACACTCACAGATCACCACATGCACAGTACCCACAGCTACCCACACACTGCCACACACATCACACACAGCTACCCACACGCCATGCACTTCCACACCAATCACTCACAGCCATCCACATCACACATGGACTGTCACACTCGTACACAACACACAGTCATTGCACACGCAGTTCAATATTTTGGCAGTTTGACAGTCTCCATTGGTCCCCCAGACATCTGCGTCGAAGCTAGTCCTCTCCTGCAGAGGACGCTGGATGTCTTTATAGAGCTAAAGCACTGCCTCGCCAAGGAGAGACCAGAAACAGGGGCAGCAGGTGCCCCGTGGAGCTCAGTCAAGTTACTAAACTGATCTAAGAAAGACACTATGACAAGTTACACTGGGAAGACACGATGGCAGTCCCGGCGCCATTCTCATTGTAGCAGGCTGTAGTGGTTATGGTGTTTGGAATGTTCTTTTAATAAATATTCCGTTTTTATAAAATAAAAAAATAACATAGAGAAAGAACTCCTGGGGGCACACCCTTATAAAATGAACTGCTCATGCCTATGCTGATAACATAGTATCCTATAAATAAATTAATTAAAAAAAAGGTTACAGCAAGTTACAAGTAATCTCCATTGTTCTATTCGCTGTAATGTCATTTAAACACAGTGCATGCTGGGTACCATGATCTACCCAGAGAGAATACATCCCAACTGCAATATAAAGCTGCAGATCAGATCAGCCCTTCCCATTACCAGCACATGTCATCTGTCCTGCTGTATGGATGGTGTGAGCAGGTTAAAGGGACATAAAGCATGTCCCCTGGGATCCCACCCCTTTCCTTACTCCTCCTCCCAGAGTATGATGTTCAGTGAAGGAGCCAGGCAGCTGCTTATACATTGCTAATCCTAACCCCCTTGTAGTCCTACCCAGCAAGGCTGCTCTGTGGAAGCATTTCTCTCCAAACAGCAGCAACACATCCCTCCCCTGTATCAGAATCTGCTACATATTAACAGCCACTGTCTGCATAGATCTATGTGCACCGCCTGCTAGACACTGCTCATAACCTGCCTCCTGCCCTCATCACATCCACACAGACACTCATGTAATGTAATGGGGTCCTCTCCTCCTGGGGGCAGCTAAAGAACAACAGGAATTGATTGCCCCAGACAGCAGGACCCTCCCAGTCACCCACCACCATGGTGTCTTGGATCATATCCAGGCTAGTTGTGTGAGTATCTCTGTTTGCATTTAGTGTCACCCTTTGTCTGTGTGTTTGTGCTGTGTGTCTGCAAGGCTGTCAGTGCAAGGTGATATCCCAAAATGCTAAAATTAGCAGCTGCCAGCCTGGATCTGCATGTCTCTCATTAAAGGTTTATACAGCCTATAGTATAATGCAGACACAGTGTACACAGGGAGACAGCCATCAATCCCCTATAGTACACTGACCCTGGATGTCACAGTATACAATGATTAACATGGAGCCACAATCCTTATTCTACATTTGTCTTTGTTATTTGTTTATTATGAGAAAATAGAATAATGTATCACAGTGCCAGCAGAGGGCTCTGTTACAGAATGGCACATGTCTTAATGTATGCTGCTTAATTGGATTCTCTTACATTACTGCCAAATAGATACATCTGATTCCTTATATTTGTATTTATTGACTTGAATAGCATTGACACTGTGAATGTAAAGGTTTTATAATAAATCTATGCAGAACATCGTTATTAGATCATTATTATTCATCTGTCCATCAACCCAGGTAGACAGGGTCCTACCAGTTAAAGAATGACACACACATATTTGTTTATCAGAGAGTGATATATGTAATAATATCCTATAAAAAAATGTATATGTTTGTGCAAATGTACATATATACACATTGTTTGCTAATTAGAGTGTAACTAGCTCTCTCCACCCTAAACTCAAAGCCTAGCATTGTAAAATGTAGATGTTGTTAGCTGAATATAATGTATTTCCATATAATATTATTTTTAGACAGGTATCTAAATACTGTCAATATGTTCACAAACCATATATGTTGGTTATACAATTAGAAAAAGGTGAGGCCTGTGTTTCTTTGTTTCAGCAAGGTGCTATACTACAGACTACTGGGTACATATACATTGTACAAACTGGGAGAATGGCTGTGCTGGGTAGATAAAATGTAATCTCAAAATCTCCTAATAATAATTATTCTGTATAAATTATTATTATTCTGTATAAATGTTTGATAGCAAGGCTGATGGATGTCACAATGACATGTCTACATTTTTTTTTTCCTTTTGTAGACCCATTTCTTCTTTTTTTTAAAAAAAATATGTGCTAGTGATCTATAATTATTTAATATTTTGCTGAAATACTGTAGCATAGAACCTCTTATATTTATTAGATTTTTAGATTAGCTTTGCTTTTACTCATATTTATTACTGCTTACATTTTTATTTTATTAATAGTAAAAATAAGGAATACATTTCAAAAGGCATAGTGGCACGTTGTGATCATGGACAAAAATGTATTTGTTTACTGACACACCAAGCCCAGGGATGTGAGATAAAAAAAGCAGAATTAGGGGTAAAAGCGTAATATAAAAATAGGCATTTTATTAAATTGATATTCTTGCAACTGTTTCACAGTTATGCCTCCCATTAATGTTTTGTGGATCAGCTGTAGATAGTTAATATTAAAAAATATTTTTCCTATTAGCAAATAGTTGTCCTAGAAGCTCTGCCTGTTCTGACAGGTCTGTGTTTAGTGCAGAGAGTTTGTTCACAGTGCAAAGGTCATTGAAAGTAAATCTGGTTAACAAGCAGCTATAGGCGAATGTTTTAAAAATGTTATATATATGTTTTAAAATTTCCCTAGAATATCAAAAAGAAAAAAAAATTGCAATACTAGATAGACACATCTCAAAAAGCTTAGAAATCGATAGCCTTCTGCCTGGATTCAACGCCCCACGGGAAATAAACAGTTAAAAAAGCTTTTAGTCCCTTCTTCTGCTAGAAAGGGAGTTTGACAGGGCTGTCCTTCTGCCAAGGCTTGGAGGGCCAGTCTGTTTATAAGCAATGTCCCTGAAAAGTGCTGATCATGTGGGGCTTACTGTGTACATAGCGCATGAAGCCAGAAAAGCCTTTCATTGGCAAAGCAGGGTGATAAAGGGACTGCTTTGTGGATGGTGGGACAGCAGTCGACAGCAGTCATTAAAGGGGAATTGTTGATTCTATAAGAGTGATCGTTCTGCGTTCCCTCACCCTTACACATAGCTCTGCAGCATATCTGTGTCCCAGATGATGCCTTTGTCCAATAATGCTCAGTGCACAATCATGCTCACTTATCACTGAAATATTCTCATAGATTGAAATTCTTCACATCTTGTTTTATTGTATGTCAATACATGTTCTCTGTTATCCCCATTCTATATTTCAAGTGCTGTGAAATATAAATAATAATAATATATACACATGCTTGTCTTGCTGTAGTGGTTATGGTGCCAGGAGTGCCCTGGTGCACCCCCCTCCATTGTAATGCGCCAAAACCACATTTGAACGGTTTGATTTCATACCCATGACAGGTGTTGTTCCCATCCTTTGCTACCATTTCTGGAGAGCTGCAAGTTCCTAGGCAGGAATCCCCTAAAAATAATTAGCAATGCGGGGCTTAGGTAATTGGCTGAGAGTAATCAGCTGATGCTTAGGGACTTCCTGCTTCAGAGGAGGGGAGCGGCACCTGACGGACCCCATGTAAGAAATCAAACTGTTCAAAAACAGAATATAACACTGCAGATGGTAGTAATTCAACAGAGCCGAGCCGAGTAATTCAGCAGAGTCAATGCAACACTTTAATGAGAAAAATATGTCCAAAGATCACTAGTTTTTACCTATTATCATCATATTATTACTGTGACATTTACTTCAACCCTACTAGAAAGGCAATACTGCATGCATCGCACAAATGTTCTGCTAATTTTATTAGCTGGTTTTAATCAATTGCCAGAGGGGAATCCCAATCAGAATTACCTATCTCTCTTTCTGTCTATTTATCTATCTGTCTGTCTTTCTGTCTATTTATCTGTCTGTCTGTCTATATACTTATCTGTCTGTCTGTATGTCTGTAGCAGGGGCGGATCCAGAACTGAATCTCGGGAGGGGCACTCGGAGATTATTACAGGGACAATCCAGGCACAATAACCACTACAGCTCTTTGTAGTGGGTATGGTTCCAGGAGCGCCATGGCACCCTCCCTGAGTAAGTAGTCAAACCGTTTAAGAACAGTTTGACAAATTACCTGGGTTCTGCCAGGTATGGGGCTGTAGTATGGGATAGAGCCTGCAGTATGTGTCTAGTCTATTCTGTTGTTGGCCAGATTGTCATTGTCACTATTGTAGAATCTTATCTCAGTGTTTGATTTGATTTTATGATCTTGGCTAGCTGATGTTCACACAGAGGTTAGACACACAGAGGGACACAAATAGACTAAACATGTAAATCTTGATGTTCCTGACGTGGAAAACGCAATGGATCGTTTCATATTAATATTTGTCTTATTAGTAGCATGTCGGCTGCCAAGGGCCTAAAAACAATCATTTTCTAATAAGTCTTTGCACATCTCGGGCTCCTTCTTTATTGCGAGACTTGTATATTCATTGTAGTTGCTGCGTCATTGTATATTCATTGTAGTTGCTCAGTGTTACCCTAGTTGTACAGTCATGTGAAACACTGACCATGTGGCTCAAACTAGACGCAGACGAGAAGCTTGGAAATGGTTATTTTAATATTGCGTTACCATTCTTAATTACAAGCTCTTTAATTGATCAAATCGTGTTCCATCAAGTGGGGTTTTCAATGGACAGTGAGGGCAAGTAACAGTTGCAGCCAGTGAAACATAATCTGATCCCATTTCTGCTGAGACACGTATCTGGGACAGATGATTGGATTTATGGCTCACACAGTGATTCACCTCCATTGCCCTGTGTGTAGAAAGCAGTCTGTGTGTGTGGCCAGCTCTGTCATTTCACCTGTCCCAGAAATCTCACTGAATCGTAAAGAACAAACTGTGTCCAGTGTAAGTATTGATGCAAAAAATAAAATGCTTTCACTAAAATTGACACAAATATTTTAATTAACTTTACATTAGCTGCAGATCTGGCCTCTGTAGCTACTGGAGATACTCCCCTTCTTATCAAAACCTTTACTTCCTTGTTAGTGCTACACAAATTTCCTGTCCAAAGCTTCTCATAGAGATGAGTTGTTTTATTGAGATATAGTTATTTGTATTAAAAAAGTCATACTTCTCAGCCAAAATCTCAATGGGCATGATAGGAGTTGTAGTTCAGCAGGGCCAGGCAACCCTTGCAGATGGTATTGTGTTTTTTGACTTTTTTTTTCCTCTGACCTTTTTTTTTTAAAATAAGGGTGTTAAAGAGCCAGGCAGATCTGACACTGTGTGTAACTCACTCAACCACGGGCGGATATCCAAAGCGCCTGGTGTTAGCAATCTGTAGATTCATATTGTTTGACATTTCTTTTATTATTTAAATGGACACTCGAAGCCCCAAAACCACTTCATCTTTAATAAGTGGTATTGGTGCTTAGACCCTGTTAATTTTGCATGGAATTGTGAACCATTGCAGTTTCAGAAACAGCAATGTTTGCATTTTATCATAACCACACGTCTCGTGACTGTCAGAGAGACAGTAATTAGAGGAATACTTTTAGTAATTTGAAATCTTCATGTTCAGCCTCATCATCAGTGCCATTCAATGCTGTGAATGAATGCTTCTCCTAAAGCGGTCTTAGATTCAGTGCTTCTCTCTGCATCCGATTGGCTGAATGTGGCAAGTGTCACACATGTCCAGTATTGCTTCTCCAGGAGACACCTTGGATTGCACCAGAGATCATGAATGTATGGTCCCAGAAGAAAAGGAGCAGTTGCCTGGTAGAGACTGCCCCGTGCCGAATGAAAAGGCAGTAAAAATAGCTTCTTTTTTCATTTTAAAATAGGGTGCGGGATGTTCTAAAATTTAGGACATTTCTCTTGTATTTTTTCCCAGTAGGAATATCAGAACGTTAGGGTGCCCAGGACCATTGAGATTAAGTTGTTATGGTGCACAGAGTGTTCCTTTAAGAGTTATGGGACTTACTAAACCAAATCACAGTGAATGTCAGGTAGAAGAAGGGAAAACAAAATGATAGCATTTAGAGAGGGAATTAACAGCAAATGGCTTAATGATAAAGAGAAGTACAATTTTATACAGAAAAATATAAGATAATAAAAAACAATCCTATAAAACAGTATATTCATTTATTTTAATAAGCTGAGATGCTTTTTTGTTAGCTGTCGTTGCTCACCTTAAAAGCAGGAAATATTATTTTACTCTTCGCTCTATCTGTATCGGCATTTAGAAAATACAAAGAGCGTAAATACAAGTAATTCAATGCTGGTGCATTGATTGTCAGCTCTCAGGAAGCCGGTGATGGTTACGAAACTGGAATAAAGGGAATTTCCTTTGTTTGATGGGCTGGGCACGTTTCCTGAAATGGAAAACATACACATTTACAGAGTGAGAATTAAAAGTGAATTTCAAGATGAAGGTCAGAGTAGCCGAAGTGACTTAGAGAATGTTTCCAATTCGGCTATTTTGACCTTAAATTTGAAATTCACTTAGAATTCTCACTGTATTGAATAACCTTGTTAATATTCAATGGTGTGATATATAATTGGATTCCTGCCCTAAATAAAAACTTTTAGAAGTGACTAATGTAACAAAAAAGCACATTTTCTCTTTTTCTTGGGAGTTGCCCGGGTTGACACATAAAAAAATATATATTTTTTCTGTCGCTATTAAAAGTAATCAGTAATTTCACTGTCATCGCCTCCAAATATTCAGAATTTGCGAGGAGCGGCACTGAATAGGAAAGTAGTCTAATTTCTCCAGACTGCTACCCTTATATTCACTTTCTCTGTGGAATGGAAATAATTTAATAAATGAATAGCTGTCAGTGGACAGGTGGACATGTCACTGCTATTTCGGTTGATAAATATACAAGGGTCTTTATTAAGACCACTTTATGAGATAGAGATATAACGCACTTGACATGAGCCTCCACATTGCAAGTTAGACTTTCTAAAATGGTTTTGTAAATTTACACCTTGTGATGGCACTGTGGTAAATGGATATAGGAGACAATGACCCCAGCCATTTTTAATGCAATGTATAAATAATGCTTTTTAAAATTAGGCAAATTAAGAAGACCACCTCCCTAACCAGGAAGTGGTTTCACCAATCAGATGGCGGAGATGGTGTTTTTTTTTCTTCCCATAAGCCTCTGTCAAGCAGGCATTTATGGCATATATGGTTTACCTTTATAACATCATTAAATAGGATGAATAGAACTTCCCTATGTAGCCTTGCCAATTCTGCAACCAGTTCATACACAGCTCAGTTCACAGTTTTGTAAATTGGAGACTGTGCAGTATTCTCCCCAGTCTGACGTTCTCCATGGGTAGAGATATGTCTTTTCTAGTTGAGAATGCATGCATACAAATGTCACCTTTGACGACTGGGGGCCAGGGATCAGGTTTATTATAGGTTTATAGCCACAGAGATTTTTTCAGCAGTCACTGTCTGCAGGGAGACTGGCACAAGGTACTTTTAGAACCATAACCTTTGCTGTGCTGCAACATTGTTATGGTGCTTGGAGTCACATTGTAATATTAGATCTTTCCGTGCAAACTTAGAATGGAGGACAGGAGTGGTCATCTTTATAGAAAATGTAAAACGTCTCTTTCTTGGGAGGACAATATGTCCCCAAGGGCGCAGGGTAAAGTGGCTTGCTATGTTTGTGATTCAAAGATTACAGCTATTTGTGACATATGGGCTCTTACAGTAATTATTACTCAAAATGACTAATGCGAAGAGTTTCTGACCGTGATTTCAGTACCCAGGACAACTCCCAACCTCAGTGACTTCACACAGGCTCAAACAACAAAAGAACGAAATAATTCTCTCCAACGAGGGCAGTGTGCAATGAGGACATATGGTGCAAAGTTATAAATGTGGGACTATCACCAAGGAACACAATAAAATGTTAATTTCTGACTTTAGAGAATATTGTACCAGAATTGGGTGCATATATAACCCCTTTTGTATTTCTCACGTAGTTGCCCATTCCATTCTGTGGGTGTTGTGTGTGTCTGTTGATTGACAGTTGTCTGTGTGGTGGCTGAGTGCTTACCTTTTGTTTTGGTGGTCCATTGGAGGGCACTATTTGACTGGATCCCTGGTGGTCCACTGGAGGGCACTATTTGACTGGATCCCTGGTGGTGGTCCATGTGTTCTACAGCTCTATTGGGTGCAGATCACTTTAAGATGTCTTTCTTGGTCCCAGTGCCCAGTCAATGACTCTGGGCACTGGGTGCAGCACTCTGAGTAATAGGACCGTTAGGGAACGCTTTTCCCCTTAAAGACCAAACTTCTGGAATAAAAAGGAATCATGACATGTCACACATGTCATGTGTCCTTAAGAGGCTAAAGGAGCACTTTAGTGCCAGGAAAACAAGCTCGTTTTCCTGGCACTATGGGGTTATTAAGTCCCCCCGTCCCTTAGGGCCCCCCTCCCGCTGGGCTGAAGGGGTAAAACTGGGCTCCCTCGGCACTGATGACCTCTCCTCCACCTGCTGATGTCAGCTCAGAATGTGCATGCGTGGCAAGAGCCGCGCGCGCATTCAAACTGCCCATAGGAAAGCATTACTCAATGCTTTCCTATGGACCTCAGCGTGTCCTCAATGCGATTTTCGCATTGAGGATCGCCGAAGCGGCCTCTTGTGGCTGTCAGGGAGACAGCCACTAGAAAAAAAAACCAAAAAAAAGTATATCACCACAGTGTAAGTGAATGTAGTGAGATATTATGTATAAACAATGGGGGCTGAATTTCTCTGAAACTGCTATGTTTACAGCTGCAGGGTTAAAACTAGAGGGACCTGGCACCCAGACCACTTCATTGAGCCGAAGTGGTCTGGGTGCCTATAGTGGTCCTTTAAACTGAGCTGGACCTCATAGTGAAGCAGACCACAACACTCTCTCAATGTAGTTAAAGTGCTCACAACCAAGCAGGAAGACCTTGTTATCTATCTGCTTGCTCTGGGAGAACCCAGCTCACAGTAAGAGAGCTGTTGCTCCAGGTGCAGACAGGAACCCACTGGGCCGCAGTCTGAGCCCGTGCCCTAGGCAGCCTCCTATGCCTCTTAATGGGTAATCAGCATCTTGTCTCTAACACTTTCATCATCTCTCAAAGCTCTAATAATTGAGCTTGTAGAAGTGCTTACAAATTAGGTCACCTTGTCTCTGAATAATCAAACTGTGTCTTAGTCTTCTGTAAATAATTAAAGATGTCACATGGTAAAGTTTCTTCCTGTAAGAGCAAAAAAAATAAATGATTGCGTTACATAACGTGGTGCCTGTGATTTAAAAAAGAATAATATCTCATTTGAGTAGAATTACTTATGTCATGGTCGGTATAAAAATACAGCAAAACACGAGAATAGACTGGATCCAGCAGTAAGGTGGGTAGTGGTACTGACAGACTCCATGAACAATTAACGCAATGGTCTGGTACGGACTCAAAACACATTTCATCAATGCAAACAGGGTTATTCAACAAACTGTGAATTGTTGTGAATTCAAAATGAATTTCAAACTTTAGGCCAAATTTGTCAAGTTGAAAACTAGGTATCTTGGAGTACTTGTGCAAATTTTGGGCATTATCGTTAAAATTCACTATTAACTACCAACATCACGCACTATAGAGAATATAGAGAGAGAATATAGAGAGGAAGCCATGTTTCATCCATACAGATCCTTCCTTTTTTATTTTCTATTTACTAAGTAGTGCACAGCAGTGTTTTATAATATATCCTGGTTGTGCATGCTGTTTCAGGGAAATACAAGATTATTCTTTTTAAAAAAAAAAAAGCATATTCATTGCTGGCTGCACAATGTGAGTTGCATCAAAAAGTTCATCTGTGGCCCAAGGTGGCTGCGCAATGCCACGCTCCATCTTATTGGTTTCATGGAATTGGGTTATTCCCAGTTTCAAGCGTCTCTGTCACTTCTGACATGTAAGGGGGTTTGAATACTTATGCTGACTGGATTAGAATTTCTAATTTTACTAGTATATGAATATCACTGGATTTCAAAGGAAGAAGTGTAGATGGATGGGCAGACATATTCCTTTATATACCTTTACATTTTAGCACTTGCCTTTCACCTCTGAATCTTAAATTATCATAAATGGAATTGGAAAGCAAATCTTTAATCTTGCGCTGTAAACCTTAGACACTGTGTATTTCAGCAATCCCTGGCCCACCAACCTATAAGAATTCCGAGGTACTGCGTGGTCACCAGAGGGCTAGATCCAGTCGTATTCATACCTTCCAACATTCCAAATTCACAAAGAGGGACACTTTATTTTTAGGGATGTGAGTAAGAGGTGTCCTGGGGCCAGGCTGTTCTGATAAATCTTAGGTTACCTACTAATAACAATGAATGCAACGAAAAGATAATTAAAGGGACACTATAGTCACCAGTGCAACTACATGTATTCCTGACCCAATAGTGTTAACAAGACCATCTAGTCACCCTGGGCCCCTCATGCCTCCATAAATATAGCAAAATCTTACTGTATTCAAGCCAGAAGCTGTAAATCTGCATGCTGTGAGACTCACGAAAAACAAGCAGTCTGCTGACATGTGATAGCCTGATCCAATCACAGTGCTACCCCATAGAATTGGCTGTGACTGACAAGGAGGCAGATCAGGGGCAGAGCCAGCATGATTCAAACACAGCCCTGGCCAATCAGCATCTCCTCATAGAGATGAATTGAATTAATGAATCTCCATCAAGGTGACTAGACACAGACATAACCCATACCCGACCTAGGGGACACACAACAGACCCAACCCATTAGGCTAACTCCGACCTCATAATTTCCCCTGGGGTTCACTTCTACGGGAGGCTCCGAGTGGAAGCCTGGATTCAAGGAATCGCCCCCTGATCTGTACTGCATCAGGCACTAGAAACTGAATCCCAGTGTTGGCACCATAATATTGACACGTGTGCATGAGACCTTGAATTGAGCTTTACAGTTTATGTCCCAAATGTCAATCAATAATACTGCTCCTGTATTCGGACTTCATGCATCATATCCGTCTTAATTCTGTTGTTACTACGATGTTACTGCCTTATTTTTCCTGCCAACCTTGCTAGTTCGGAGACACAGCATACTATAATTTAGAGAGGAAGCGTTGCCACGTTTTTACTAAGCTATTCAATCTAGAGTTTTTATCTGTTCTGTAAATGCGTTCTTATGCACCGATGTTACTATTGTATTCATTTTCCTGTTAAACGATATGGCGCTTGACGACTATTGAGTATTCAGGATCGCGCATGATCAACACTTGTATTATCAGAACTAATGCTCGATTTGTTCACACGCACACGTACTCTGTTGTAGCGTTTGCTTATGTTTATTGTACTCACCTGTATGACAAAATAAAGAATTTACAAAAAAAAAAAAAAAAAAGAATTAATGATTCTCTATGAGGAAAGTGCAGTGTCTGCATGCAGAGGGAGGAGATACTGAATCACAGGATGCTGTGCACAGTGCTGCCCTGTGCTCTGCTGACAGCAGATCTGAGTGGATGGAGGCATATTATGCCTCCATCAACTCCGAAGTCCCTCTGGTTCACTCTACGTGACTGCAACTGGAGGTGTTCCTAGCTTTCAATGTAAACACTGTATACATTACAGAAAATACAGTGTTTACATGAGAGAGGATGCAGGGAGCTATAGTTCTCACCTGAACAACCTCATTAAGCTGAAGTTGTTCAAGTGACTATAGTGCCCCTTTAAGAACAAGAACAATGTATGTTATTTACACAGACTGATTTCTTTTTTTTTTCAATTCTTTATTTTTGCTCAATAGACACAGCGAGTTTACATAAACTTTTGGGCTTACGCAGAAGCCAACTTGAATATAAATTTTGGAAACATAATGCAGTTCAACAGATACAACATATGCCCATTCCTTAAAAAAACGTTGGTACCTGCCGTCTACTGAGGGTTTTATATTTTCATATAATTCATTATTCTGTTAAATTCTTTATTTTTCTTTTTTGGAATTCTTAAATTTCACCATAAACGGAACAGATGTATATTCACTTTTGGGCTTATAAGGAAGCCAGTTGAATTACATAGCTTTATAAGGAAATACAATGCAACCTCATCATCGCATGCGCTTTTCACTATAAACCCTTGGGACCCGCAGTCTATTGAGGTATTTTATGTTTTAATCAAAGACAGGCAGGTAAGTAGTTCAAGTAGCCTTTATGTTTGCTTATCATTCTAGTACTTAAGCTACATTATTCCTCCGTCCGTATGATCCTGCCTGGAAAAAGAAAACAAAAAACAAAGAGAGAGGAAGAGAGATAGAAGAAGAGAAAAGAGATGGGGCAAGAAGAGCCCGGAGAGGAGGGATGAGGGGAGGGTGGTGGGGGGCATCGCAGCCACTTCGTTGACAATCAAGTCACATTCAGTAAGGATGTGTATATCTTAGGTTCATTCCCATATGTATGAGGCCCTCAGTCTCTAGCCAGCCCACTATGCTATTGTCCCACGGTTCCCACGTTTTTTGGAATGTCGTGATGGTCCCTCTTACCCTTGCCGTTAGATCGTCCATGATTCTACACTCTTTGATTCTGGAAATAACCCCTGTGAATTCTGGGCCCTCAGGCATGAGCCACGCTGTCACAATCGCTCGGCGTGCACACAAAGTAATCTTGTGTACTAATTTCTGTTCCCTTTTGGTCCACCCGTCCACAGATCTATTCAACAAGTATATCCACGGGTCCAATTTTAGGGGCCTATCGAACGTCTGTCTTACCAGATCCTCCACGGATCTCCAAAATCCCCGTAGCTTCGGGCATTCCCACCACATGTGACACAGACTGATTTCTAAACACATCATTTGTACTTTAAAGGGTTACCACAGCACTATGACCACTTCATTGATTTAAGTGGTCATGGTTCCTGATGTCTGTATGTGCAGTGTTTCGCTTTGAAGCACATGCAGAGATTAACCTCTTAGTTGCCAGAGGTATAACTCCACCACTGGCAGCATTATTGGCCCTCCCAGAACAAATGTAAATTGGTTATTGTCAATTCAGTGCAAAATTGGCATCTGACTCCATTCTAGTGTCTGTTCTGTAATTTATCATTTGAAATTCAATTTACAACAATTCACACTTAAAGGAACACTCCATTGATTTATTTTTTTAAAACAACTTCATAGATATACCCTAGAGAAGAAAAATGTGTTTATGTTTTTCTGCTTGTTTTCTTTGAGAGCATATGAAACAAAAAAAACAGCTTGCAAAAGCTGCAGACCTGCTTCTGCAGCCTTTGCAAGACTTCCCCTCTGTCTCTGACACAGACTTTTAGTCTGTGCTGTGAATAAACCAATCAGAGACTTCTCATTGAAAAAGGGAGGGGAGGCAGGCATGCACTAGCCCATTGCACCTGTCACTGTGGGTTGGCTCTGTGGAGCTTACGAAAAACTGAAGAAAAAAATAGACTGATGAAAACCTTTCTGGTTGTATGAGTGAAAGTGAGGGAGATGTTCCTGCAATCAATTTAAAAAGGGCCAGTTTCTACTGAAATCAGCAGTTGTATAAATTTCACAAATATGATAGAATCCAGGCCCATAAAGCACTTCAGCAAGCTGGCGTGCTTCGTGTATGTGAAGTGTTTTTTTTTTTTTTTTAAATGAATGACCCTAATTATTTGACGTTTAGCTAATTCTGGAAAGACAAGCAAGAGGAAGATCAAATGATTAATGATTCAGTCCTTCTGAATATTCTGTAATAATAATAATCTCCTTGTATGGAATAATATTCCTGCCCGTGAATGACAAAACTGCTATTTCATTTTAGAGGAAAGTGTGAAATGGATTTCTCTATAATGTCTTATTTGTTCTTGTGAATTTACATTTAGTTGAAGATAATCACCTACATGCTGTGATCTTTCAAATCTGCAAATAAACATCCACACAAAGCCAAACATTCACTTTCACAAACCCAAGGCTTAGGATAAATTTAGCTCTCTCTGTGTTCCGTTTCTCCCATACAGATAGCTACATATTGTTTACTCTTCCTTGTACTCGGCCTCTGTTTGGGCATGGATATATAATGCCCTGTGGCAGAGGCACAATGCAGACCCCATCAGATATATATATATATATATATATATAAAAAATGTGCTTAAAGAGTTACTCCAACCATAACAACTGTATTTTAAGAAAACAATGGTTTGGGTTAGATTAACCTTTCCTATTCTGAGCCCTTCCAGTCAAAGTTTAGAAAAATAAATAAATTACAGCTAACACATAACTTTTTTTCCATAGCTGAGGCCACGTTTTCCCTGCTCCACTGGCGTCACTCACTCTAGCTGCAAGAGGAGCAGGGGAGTGGCGGAAGACATGGGCGGCATGGAGGAAGGTGCCATTGGACACCTTTCGCCAACATGCAGTACGTTCTACTGTCAGATGTCCAATATGCATAGAATCATTATTAGCCAACCCAAAACCTTTATTCCAGGCTGACATAGACGTACCAGTGACGCTGCCGAGGGGGAGTAACACCTCCGGCAATAAAGGGATTAAACTCTGTATGTGCAGCAATTCAGCAGCACTTATAGACTTCAGGAACCATGACCACTTCAAATCACTGAAGTGGTCATGATCTTTGTAATAATTTAAAAAGAACAAGCTTAATCTATACAAGGATCTTTATATAATAAAGTTTTTGAAAGAGAACTAAGATATCTTATTTACTTATGTTATATTATTTACCTATGAGATATTGTATACATATGATATATAATTTTTCTGATCTGAGTGGAATACAAATGGATGTATTCACTAAACTGGCCATTGGAGGCTATGCACTAAAAAAAACTATGTTGTTTTTTTTATTGTAAAATGTTATATTTATTTGTATTAACATTTTTTTGCTAATTGCAGCTCCCTTTTTTAAAATTTTGCCACGTTTCAACTGACAATTCTCAAAAAGTTACTACAAGTACACTTTAAAGGGACACTATGGTCACCAGAACAACTACAGCTTATTGAATTTGTTCTGGTGAGTAGAATCATTACCTTCAGGCTTTTTGCTGTAAACACTGTCTTTTCAGAGAAGATGCAGTGTTTACATTACAGCCTAGTGATAACTTCACTGGCCACTCCTCAGATGGCTGTTAGAGATCCTTCCTGGGTCATGGCTGCCTAAAATGCATCACAACTTATCAGTATCTCCTCCCTCTGCATGCAGACAATGAACTTTCCTCATAGAGATGCATTGATTCAATTCATCTCTATGAGGAGATGCTGATTGGCCAGGGCTGTGTTTGACTTGTGCTGGCTCTGCCGCTGATCTGCCACCTTGACAGTCTCAGCCAATCCTAAGCATTTTGATTGGCTCAGACCACCACTTCTGATGATGTCAGCAGGCAGTGAGCAGGTCAAAAGGAAACAAGGGCAGAGACAGCATCTCTAGACTTGAATACAAGTAATATTTTATTATATTTAGGGAGGCAAGAGGAGGCCAGGGGGTTAGATGGTGGTTTTAATACTATAAGCTCAGGAATAAATGTTTGTGTTCCTGACCCTATAGTGTTCCTTTAAAGGTTATGGTGCCAACAAACCTCTGGTGCCATCCCCTAGTTATGTGTCATACATTTTCAAAGCTATTTCTCACAAAATGAGGTTCATTGGGCGCTCATGGCCCGGTCCGTCAATGACAATATCACTAATATGGAGTTTCGGCTTTCGCATTAGTAATATCAATTTTGCCCGAATTTGGACAGCACTCATAAGCTGAACATGTCCATTTTTAGTATATTTGTGAGTTGTGGGCACCATTTCTGGTACATATTGTTGGGAGATGGGGAGAGGACATGTGTTTAAAAGTTGACCAACAGAGCAGACTCCCTACTATAGAGCTGTGACACTTGCGCAATCACTGTTTACTGGCGAGGACCAAAATGGTAACCCATACCATGGGAGGCACATGTTTTCCACTCCTCAAGCTGGATCACCAAGACAGAAACGAGTTGCCAATGTGCGTGGTTCATTGCCTCTCGGAGCATGATAGCAATAGTACTTTATACTACAACTATTTCTAACACCACTGCTGTATACATAGAATACAACATTGCATAGCAAGGTATCACCAGTTTAACTGTCTAACTATGCAATGCCCACAAGTTCTCATCTACTGTTTACTATTGTTTTTTTTACAACAGGCTGATATTTGGCACTCTATACCCTGCGTATTATTCATACAAGGCTGTGAAATCCAAGGATATAAAAGAATATGTAAGTAACCTGTATTATATGTTTAAAGTGTTTTATTTTATTGTTTGATTTTGTAATGTTTAGCTTTAATCTATTAGACTTTGATTACCAATTAATGAGCTATATAAAGGAAGTTTACATGGGGATATTTGCAAAGGTCCAGAATTAAAAGGTTTGTCCAAAATTGCAATTCCGAGTAATGTAAGTAGATGGAATGTTAAAGTGTTTAATGTGGATTCATCCAATGATATATTGCACAATGATTTATCTCAGAGCCCAGTGATGACAAGGGTATTAAGTGCACAAAAACAAACATATAAATAAGACTGTAAACAAGAAGCACAGAGAGCCACACAGAGTCTACTCATGTTTGAGGTGTGAATGTGGTTGTATCTCCTTCCCTACCATCCTCTTTTATACTCCTCTCTGATTTTGCATTAACATATAACACATTACAGAAAACCCCACTGATCTTTCCATACAATCCTGTATAGCTCCTCACTCAGCTACGGCCTACGGACAATTTTTTTTCGCCAGGGAACTGGTCAGTCCATTTCTTGATGTGCATTCTGGGAGGAGAAGGAGATAGGGTGGCCTTTAGTCAGGCCCTAGTAACGATTATAGCCATGTAACAGTATTACTCTGAGTACGCCCTAATTCAAGCTCAAGGTCCCTCAGAGCTGAATCGGTCGCCATCTCCTTTGATGTCAGCGAGATCCAGGAACCTAAGTGCTGCACACATATTAGGCCTTCGTTATAGGAAAGCATCGACTTAATGATTTCCTATGGGGTTTTGCAAGACGCTGAATGTCCTCATACATAGCGTGAGTAAGCCCAGTGTCATTTCACGGAGTTAAGCTCTGTGAAACTGCAGGAAGCACCTCTAGTGGCTGTGTGGTAGACTACTAGATGCAGTCTTAACCTGGCAATTAAAACACTGCATCCAGACCACGTCAATGAGCTGGAGTGGTCTGAGTGCCAGTAGTGTCCCTTTAATCCCTTCATTATTTCTTAAAAAGGACAAACAAATAAGTAAAACAATGAAATTCTGTAGATTGTTATTGAATTTGCTGTATTGTCCTAACTTTAAGAGCTCTTTATCGTTTCTTATTAATATCAATGTTGAACTGTGTTATCGAGAAGAACTTGGTAGGGAAGAGATAATTTTAGAAAATAACCTTATCTTGGTGTTTTCATAGCTTGTATTTAGCTAATTACAATGATATGTTACTCTGTATCTAATCTGCAATACTGATAACCTAGATAAAGTTATTATCTGTTGTTTGGGATGTACCCATGCATTTGGAGGTTATTGGAAGCTGTTTATTAAACAGGTGAATTTGTTTTCTTTTGCCGTACATTCCTATAAAACTATTATTGTTTTATTTTCTATTTTCTTTTCACTAACGTTAATTTGGCTTATTCTGTGTGGTATCGTACACTCAGCTAGCTGGCTGTTTTATATCATAGGATAAAAAGGAAAAACTGTACAGTTCTGTTGGTTATCTCCGTGCTCCCCTTCTGCATCTTGGCAAGGTTGCACTTCTTTTAAGGACAATACAGTAGATTACCCAGCAGTACCAGCTTTAGTTTTCATAGGATCCTGGGCAAGCCCCTGTTTGTGGGCCCCCTGTTGCTCATTCCACCTCAAACCCTCATACACGCTTTACACGTGTTAACTCCTTCCAAACATTCCTCAAGCAAAAAATAGGGAAGCACATTTAAACTGTCCAATCTTATCACTTACATTACACTTACCCTCCCACACATATTGCTTACGTTACACTTAGCCTCCCACACATATTGCTTACGTTACACTTACCCTCCCACATATATTGCTTACTTTACACTTACCCTCCCACATATATTGCTTACGTTACACTTAGCCTCCCACATATATTGCTTACTTTACATTTACCCTCCCACACATATTGCTTACGTTACACTTAGCCTCCCACACATATTGCTTACGTTACACTTACCCTCCCACACATATTGCTTACGTTACACTTAGCCTCCCACACATATTGCTTACGTTACACTTACCCTCCCACATATATTGCTTACGTTACACTTAGCCTCCCACACATATTGCTTAATTTACACTTAGCCTCCCACACATATTGCTTACGTTACACTTAGCCTCCCACACATATTGCTTACGTTACACTTACCCTCCCACATATATTGCTTACGTTACACTTAGCCTCCCACACATATTGCTTACGTTACACTTAGCCTCCCACACATATTGCTTACGTTACACTTAGCCTCCCACACATATTGCTTACGTTACACTTACCCTCCCACATATATTGCTTACGTTACACTTAGCCTCCCACATATATTGCTTACGTTACACTTACCCTCCCACATATATTGCTTACGTTACACTTACCCTCCCACATATATTGCTTACTTTACACTTACCCTCCCACATATATTGCTTACTTTGCACTTACCCTCGCACACATATTGCTTACGTTACACTTACCCTCCCACATATATTGCTTACGTTACACTTAGCCTCCCACATATATTGCTTACGTTACACTTACCCTCCCACACATATTGCTTACGTTACACTTAGCCTCCCACATATATTGCTTACTTTGCACTTACCCTCGCACACATATTGCTTACTTTACACTTAGCCTCCCACATATATTGCTTACGTTACACTTACCCTCCCACATATATTGCTTACTTTGCACTTACCCTCCCACATATATTGCTTACTTTACACTTACCCTCCCACATATATTGCTTACTTTGCACTTACCCTCGCACACATATTGCTTACGTTACACTTACCCTCCCACATATATTGCTTACGTTACACTTAGCCTCCCACATATATTGCTTACGTTACACTTAGCCTCCCACACATATTGCTTACGTTACACTTAGCCTCCCACAGATATTGCTTACGTTACACTTACCCTCCCACATATATTGCTTACGTTACACTTAGCCTCCCACATATATTGCTTACGTTACACTTACCCTCCCACACATATTGCTTACGTTACACTTAGCCTCCCACATATATTGCTTACTTTGCACTTACCCTCGCACACATATTGCTTACTTTACACTTAGCCTCCCACATATATTGCTTACGTTACACTTAGCCTCCCACATATATTGCTTACTTTGCACTTACCCTCGCACACATATTGCTTACTTTACACTTAGCCTCCCACATATATTGCTTACGTTACACTTACCCTCCCACATATATTGCTTACGTTACACTTACCCTCGCACACATATTGCTTACTTTACACTTGGCCTCCAAGACCTTTCTCATACCACCTCTTTCTTTCTGAACCTTCCACTGTCTCCTATTAATCCTTTAATCTTCTGAAACAATGTTTTCTTGTCACACCCAGTTTACGTATTGCTTCCTTTGTCAGTCCACCTTTCTTCCACAAATTGTTAGATTAACTTTGCCTACCTTCGCTCACATCTTCCTCCAATACTTGCTCTACTTTTTTTATTTCTAGTCCTCACCTTTTTCCTTTTACATAATTAATATGGCCTTTTTGCCCTCCTCTGAAAGGTTGCGTTGCACAGATTTGCCGGTCAGCAATGATTTCAGAGACTTAAAATTCCTCTCTCCTTCTGCCTTGTTCGCCTCATTGACTTGAGAAAGGAGTGGAGGGACTTGCATTAACATTTCTTGAGCAGAGACCAGCACAACTAATTCCTGGAAGAATATATTGAGATGTTCTAGCTCTGGAGTGAAGAAGAGTTGTTATGGGCCCCTACAATTTTCTGGGCCTTAGGCAGCAGCTCTTTTTGCCTTACAGAAAATACGGTTTCTGTTACTCAGACTTAGTGCTGTTTGGTTGCATTGGTTTAAACTTTAAGGTCTAGGAACCAAAAGATTATCCAGTTTTACATCCCTGATTAAATAAAATGTAACAGTGTTAGCTGTATACTGAATGTATATGTGGGAATATTATTATTATTATATTATTATTACATTATATTATTAATGTAACTTTATGAAATTAATGTTAGTTTGTAGCAGATGGAATAGAGCATTATAGAGTGATGATATTGCCCACATCTAGAAGTGCTGTGGACGTGTCATTTGTACTTACCTGCACTGCCCTTCTTACAGTACTAAACGATTGAACTAGGGTAAAGGATTAAGGAATCATTGCTGTCAGAGGAGTGACAACAATCCCTCTTTAAATAAACAGATGGAAAGTTAATTTTGTGGTATAAGTCTTTTCACCAGAAAAATATAATTTGGGGATACTTTGTTTTAAACGTTCTAAGCCAAATTCCAAAAACAAACCTCCAATTGTTATTAAAACTCTTAACCCTCAATTTAAAGGATGAGAAGTCAGACCTTAAATAATATATGCAACACATTGCTTGGCGCTCTGCTTGAAACCTGAAAGCAGCAGTTATCAAGCAGAGAAACTTGCACATTGGTGATATGACTGAGACTGGAGATAAGGAGTGAATAGGCTCCTACACTAAAAGCTGGGATACTGATAATGAATTCAGCTGCGAGTCTGTCATCAGTGTGTTGCACTTGCTGTACATAAAAGTGTGCAGTGTTGTGTGGAGAAACATGTGACCATCCCCCTGGGACAACCATTAGCCCCTGACTGTGGTTATCTCCTGGTCAGCAGACACACAGATACCAAAACTATTATTTTTAAAACAGAAGGAAAAAACAAAGTTGAAAGAGCTAAATATGATAAAAGTTGTTTGTTCGGGTGAATGTGTGATAGTAATAGATCCGGTATACTTCAATTGATTCCCTGGATTCCCACGTTGTCAAAGTCACATGTCTGCATTAATACATTGCCTCAGGGTTGTGTGCCAAGTGTAATGTGGGTCATAATAATAAATATAAGACACAATGGCGGATGGCTACGTTTTCAGATCACTATTATTGTTGTGCAGCTCTGGTGTTAATTCAGACACATCAAAATTACTGAGCTCCTACAAAAGAGTGAGATTAGGATAGAAAGAGGGACAGATGGATAGAGCTCAGATTAGGGAGTCTTGGGGGGTATGGGAATCCAAGGTCGAGTCCACACTGTGTAGATGAGAAGGTCCCAGACACTCTAGGTACATAGCAACCATGGGGTTTAAGTTTTATATTACAGCAGGAGATATTCAACAAAGAGGACCTGCCATTCAGAGATATCATTTTTAATTTGTGGGGTAATAGCTTCTTGATCCAGGGAGAGTTCTGACTGTCATTTTGGGGTCAAGAAGGAATTTTTTCATAGTTTGTTGTAAAATTGGAAAGCACTTTAAACTTGTTTTTTGTGAGAAAACTTATGTGAGAAAGCTAAACGTGATGGGCACGTCAATTTTTTTAGCTATGAATCAGTTCTAATACACATATAATCTATATACAACTGCCCACATGATGCAATTTGTACGTTGTTAAAAAGTTATGTTATATATAAAACAAGGTATACACTGTACTTCATTTTAATGATGCTTTTAAAAGATTTAGTGGTGTCACAAATATATCAATGCAATGATTGATTCTGGGTCCATATTTGTTTAGGCCATCATCACTGCCCTTCTCGATATGCCATGTTTACATGTTGCAATGTATGATATTCAAATTTGCTCTACAAGCATCCTGTTAGACAATAATAACCCTGAGAAGATTAAATTGCATGACGCGTTTGCCTTAAAGTGATACTTCAAACACTAGTAACAATACAGTTAGTTGTAGTGATTATGGTGTAGACATTAGACAATGTCTGGATGCAGAAATTCCAGGTTTTGTCAAATAATTTTCAAGTGGTTTGACAAAAACTTGAGGTTTTTGCCAGTAGCTAAAGCCTGCCACTTCTACTGCTGAAGCAATAATGAGGACGTTTCTCTTTGTTATGGGAGCCTTTGTTATTATAGCAGGAATGATGGACAAACCTCTGATTCGGCTCGTTCAAAGCCAGATAAACCATACAGATATTTTCGTTAAATGAAGAAAGTGCAACTCCTGATATAACGTCAGAGCAAAGAGCTTGAAAATAGCACGACAAAAAATCTGATGGATTGCAACCAAAGACACCTTGGTTTAGACCCACTGCAATAAGCTGTCCTGTTCATGATGTTTTGAAAGCCCAAGCATGGCTTCATTGTGGAGGAATGAATAATCAAGGCATTCTTGTTCTCTCACGTACCGGTATATCCTGATTTAAAACAGATCTCATTTATACGTGTTGTTGAGTACCAGAAAACAATAACAACTTTTTTAAATTAAGTAAAAACTGTTTTTAAGGACAACTGTTGCTTCCTAATATTATGTTTGCTACTCTCTACATTTAACAAATTTGTATCTGTGAAATGTGAAAAATAAAATTAAATGTAGAAACCCACGCGCCTTTATCCTGCAACAGGACACTTCCATCTTGTCTTCCTGTCAGCCATTGTTATTAGCTCTACCCATTGCAGCAGACATTCTACATGGAAATACCATAGAGAGAGAGAATGATAAATGGAACAATCAGGGTTATTAACTAATTAAAGTGAAAATTGCTGGGGATTCAAAGTGAATTTAAAATTCGAGGCCAAAGAGCCAAATTGAAAGCAGAATTAACTTGGATAATTTTACAAATTTGGCTCTTATGGCCGCCTGCCATTTTAAAATTCACTTTGATTTTTTTCTGCAATTCTCAGTTCAGTGTGTCTGTTTCTTCTCCTCATTTGCAATATATGCCCTGGCAGTGCCTGGGCTAAACTGGATTACAATGTAATTTGCAAAAATTTTCATATAATTGTGAAAGAAACTTGGGCATTATATGAAAAAAGGTTAACACAAGTTAAAAGGACACTGTAGGCACCCAGACCACTTCAGCTCATTGAAGTGGTCTGGGTGCAATGTCCCATGTCCCTTAACCCTGCAATAGTAATTATTGCAGTTATTGAGAAACTGAAATAATTACTATCCAGGGTTAACTCCACCTCTAGTGGCTGTCTATTAGACAGCCACTAGAGGGCTTCCTGGTTTGAAATGGACCATTGGTCCGTTATCTGAAGCTGGGCGTCCTTACGCTCTGCATGAGGACCTCAAGCGTCAGATTTTTCCCCATAGGGGAAAGTGACTGAAAAGGTTTTAACCCCTGCAGCACCACGGGATGGGGAGCACGAGGGAGGGGGGAACTGTAGGAACCTATAGTGCCAGGAAAACAGCTTTGTAAATCCCTTTAAAGGAAAAGTTTAAAGTTTTAGTCCTACATAAATGTATTTCTTTATGTCATACATGGTGGAATGCTTTTGTGGTTGTTTTTATTGTCTAACCCCAATCACATTTGCAAAGACCGTGGCATACGATACTCCACAATTATTTGCTATAATTCAATCCCATAAGCATGTGGCTCACACCCTGTACTATTCCCGTGTTACTTAATACATTTTCACTTTGTTTTACCAGGTGAAATGGATGATGTACTGGATCATATTTGCACTATTTATGTCAGTAGAAACGTTTACAGACATTTTCCTCTGTTGGTAAGTAGCTTATTAGCAAACCGAGAACTGACAATCTATTTCAGCTCAGTTTAATATTTCCACGTGTCCTGAATGCACCTGTTAAAGTAGTTCTATTATATGTTTCTTTATAGTGTAATTATTTATCTTATCAAATTCTTCACGTTATTTTTTCCCTTTGAATTGTATCGCCTTCGAAAGTTTTTGCTAAGGACTGCTTACTGTAAGCTAAGTGCTATATAACCTTCTGGAGCCATTTCCTGTTGAATGTTTTTTAGCATTTGTGGTGGAAGTCCTCTTGCTTTTTATTTTTATTAATTAATTGTAAGGAATTTAAATTTGAAATGACTAAATAAAGGCAAACATCTCCAGCTCAGGATATAGGCATATCTTGACTGTTTTAGCCTTAATTGTGCAATTTAGATTTAAATTTGCTACAATCTATAATTTAGTGAATGACCCGGTGTATTCCTTTACGTCTACCACTTATGTTCCTCCTTTCAAATCCCTGCTATTTCCCCTATTTGTCTACATCTGCCCATATCACATCCATTCGTGTCCATCTGCCCATATCACATCCATCCGTGTCCCTCTTCCCATATCACATCCATTTGTGTCCCTCTTCCCATATCACATCCATTTGTGTCCCTCTTCCCATATCACATCCATTCGTGTCCCTCTTCCCATATCACATCCATTCGTGTCCCTCTTCCCATATCACATCCATTCGTGTCCCTCTTCCCATATCACATCCATTCGTGTCCCTCTTCCCATATCACATCCATTCGTGTCCCTCTTCCCATATCACATCCATTCGTGTCCCTCTTCCCATATCACATCCATTCGTGTCCCTCTTCCCATATCACATCCATTCGTGTCCTCTCCCATATCACATCCATTCGTGTCCCTCTTCCCATATCACATCCATTCGTGTCCCTCTTCCCATATCACATCCATTCGTGTCCCTCTTCCCATATCACATCCATTCGTGTCCATCTCCCATATCACATCCATTCGTGTCCCTCTTCCCATATCACATCCATTCGTGTCCCTCTTCCCATATCACATCCATTCGTGTCCCTCTTCCCATATCACATCCATTCGTGTCCCTCTTCCCATATCACATCCATTCGTGTCCCTCTTCCCATATCACATCCATTCGTGTCCCTCTTCCCATATCACATCCATTCGTGTCCCTCTTCCCATATCACATCCATTCGTGTCCCTCTTCCCATATCACATCCATTCGTGTCCATCTGCCCATATCACATCCATTCGTGTCCCTCTTCCCATATCACATCCATTCGTGTCCATCTGCCCATATCACATCCATTCGTGTCCCTCTTCCCATATCACATCCATTTGTGTCCATTTGCCCATATCACATCCATTCGTGTCTCATCATCACTTGCCTGCCATTTCTGTTCCGTCTGCCGTGTCCCCTATTTGTGAACTCTGCCCATATAACCACCATTTGTGACCATCTGTATATATTTCCTCCATTTGTGGCCATCTGTATATATTTCCTCCATTTGTGGCCATCTGTATATATTTCCTCTATTTGTGACTGTCTGTACATATTTCCTCTATTTGTGACCATCTGTATATATTTCCTCCATTTGTGACCGTCTGTACATATTTCCTCCATTTGTGACTGTCTGTATATATTTCCTCCATTTATGACCGTCTGTATATATTTCCTCCATTTATGACCGTCTGTATATATTTCCTCCATTTGTGACCGTCTGTACATATTTCCTCCATTTGTGACTGTCTGTATATATTTCCTCCATTTATGACCGTCTGTATATATTTCCTCCATTTATGACCGTCTGTATATATTTCCTCCATTTGTGACCGTCTGTACATATTTCCTCCATTTGTGACTGTCTGTATATATTTCCTCCATTTGTGACCGTCTGTACATATTTCCTCCATTTATGACCGTCTGTATATATTTCCTCCATTTATGACCGTCTGTATATATTTCCTCCATTTGTGACCGTCTGTACATATTTCCACCATTTGTGACCATCTGTCTTTGTCTCTAATTTGTAACTATCTGCCTGTGTTATGCCTCCGTCCATATAATATTCATTTGTGGCTTTCTGCCCATATCCTCCATTAGTGACCATCTGCTCATATCGACCATTTGTATCCCTTTGCACATGTACCTATTTTTGCATTCAATAGGATTTTATTAAGCAGTAAATGTGCCAATACAGAAAAAAAGAACATCATTCATAACAAAATCTGTTTTCAAAGGGTTAGCCTGAATCTGTACAAGGTCTCAAATTACCCCTAACCAACCACATACAAATATAATGTACATTGGACTGACAGATGGAAAGCAAAATGACACCCTGTTAAGAAATACAACATTAACATCATAAACTACAGTCTAATTTGTGTCAAAAAGACAAGTGTTTACCAAAAAGTAAATGTAGTCAGGATGAAATGTTGACATTGACTGTGACATGTTCTCTTAAAGCTTTTAGGAAGTCCCCATTTTTGGCCCTCTTTCCATGTCTCCAATTTTTGCTCATCTGCCCGTGTCTCCTATTTTTGACCATGTGCCGGCGTCTCATATTTTTGGCTCTCTGCCTATGTATGTTATTACCTCTACCTAGCCTTTAGGAGGCTTTAGAAAAGTGTTTGCAGTTCGGGTTCGCTCAACTCTATTATGGATCCTTTGATCGCTACATGTATTACTTGGATAACTGGTAATTCTCGAGCTAATACATGCCGACGAGCAGTAGGGGACGGCCGCTCTGCTTTTGCACCCTGCTCCGTCTTATGCTGTGCTGGTGCCTCTGTGCGACCAGCGCCTCTTCCTCCAAACTGCACACGTCACTCGCATGACCTTCATTCCATGTGGGGTCTAGGACCTCATCATCCTCCACACCATCTTCCACCCACTCCTCAACCCTGCCCTCCTTGCCGGTATGCACACTGCAGAAAGCCACAGCAGTTGGCACCTGTGTTTTTTCAGCATGTAAAGTCTGCAAAGGACATATGGAAATTGTTTTAGAATTGTTTCCAGGCAACAGTTTTCCCTATCAACTGACCTCTCAGTTTGACTTGTGAGGGTATTGCCCCAGAATTACAATATTGTTGAAGTACCTCTTAGCTATTGATCACTGGTTTAAATATAGCAGCTTGTTATCTAGTAGTTCCTAGTGTGGAAAATATCAATCTGTTTTCTATCACTTAGATCTGTGTAACAAGTGTTGTAGGTGTGAAACAATATTACAAGTGACCGATGTAGTAAATTCGAATCAAAGTTACGCTTCGATTTGACTCTCAGATATGAAGTGAACACCCCAAATATACTATTTAGCACCAAAAAAGAAATTGACTTTTTAAAACTCCAATGTAAGCAGCAGATTAGCAGCAAAACAATTAGAATGTTTACAACTGCGCAGTAAGCGCACTATTTGACGCTTTTATTTGACTCTCAGATATGAAGAGCAGGCCACAAAATGTACTATTTAGCAGATTAACACGCAGAAAATAAGAATGTTTACCACTGCACTGTAAGCACACTATTAGATGCTTCGATTTGACTCTCAGATATGAAGTGCACCGCAGGCCCCAAAATGTACTATTTAGCAGATTAGCAGCAAAACAATTAGAATGTTTACAACTGCGCAGTAAGCACACTATTAAACGCTTCTACTTGAATCTCAGATATGAAGAGCAGGCCACAAAATGTACTATTTAGCAGATTAGCAGCAACACAGTGCAGTTTACAAGTGCACTGTAAGCGCACTAGTAGACGCTTCTATTTGACTCTCAGATATGAAGTGCACCCCACTAAAATACTATTTAGCAGTTTAGGACCCCCAAAAATTTAAGTTTTAAAACTGCAATGTGACAGCAGTATTTGACGATTCTATTTGACTCTCAGATATGATGTGCACCCCACTAATGTACTACCCCACTAATGTACTATTTAGCACCCAAAAAAATTTACTTTTTAAAACTCTGATGTAACCGTGGTATTTGACGCTTCTATTTGACTCTCAGATATGAAGTGCACCCCACCCATCTAATGTACTAGTTTGCAGAATTCTTTCCTAAGCTGTCCCTATCAGCGGCAGCATCCTCTCCCTACACTAATAAGACTGCATGTGCGTGCGGCGCTATGCGACTCCAGCTTATATATAAAGGCTGGGTCACATGCTACACAGGCCAATCACAGCCATGCCATTAATAGGCATGGCTGTGATGGCTTCTAAGGGCACACGAGTCAAATGCTGGTTGATTGGCTGCCTTTCAAAACGCGCCATTAAATCGCCGAACACCGAACTCCAACCCAAACATACAGTGATATGTCCGTGTTCGGGGTCCAAAAAACATAATATTCGGTACGAACCCGAACTTTACAGTTCGGGTTCGCTCAACTCTATATATATGGTTTAAAATGACGACATCTGTTGTCTGTTTGACCAAACCATATGTATGAATAGTGTTTACTTGGTTGAATACACTATATTAAATGAAAAAAACGTCAGTTCCTCTATAATGTGATTTCTTTTGATTTTATTCAGACAATTTATTTCCTTCTCTCTTTTAGGTTTCCATTTTATTATGAATTGAAAATAGCGTTTGTGGCCTGGTTGCTGTCTCCTTATACGAAAGGATCTAGCCTTCTGTACCGGAAATTTGTGCACCCAACACTATCATCAAAAGAAAAGGTAAGTTTTGCACTATTTTGCTCTGAGATTTCTATTGCTTGCCTTATGAACAGTTAAATAAAGGATCTAGCTAAAACGGTAAGCATCAAACGACATACAAGCCTAGCTACTAAAGTGAGAATTCAAATTGAATTCTAAATTCAAAATGACACTATAGTAACCTGAATAACTACAGCTAAATGTAGTTGTTCTGGTGTGTATATAGTCAGTCCCTGCAGGCTTTTTGCTTTAAAAAAAAAAAGGCAGCTCAAACGACCATTAGAGGTGCTTCATTCCTACGTTAAGCGTCTCCACGCTGTGCATGGAGGCACTGAACCTGCATTGAGTCTGATTGGTGCAGAGCAGCGTTTTGTCGCACATGCTCAATAGCCTGCCAGTGCTTTCCTATGAGAAAGCATTGGATTAGTTGAGATCGTCAAGTCTTACATAGGCGGACTGAAGTCGGGGCCAGCGCCGACGGACCCATGCAGCACTGTAATAAAGGTGAGTTTTCTACTTATTTAAGGGGGTAAGTGTTTTTATTCCGAGTAGTGAATAGCTGGCTATGAAAGGGTTGGCTGGGAGTCATGAGAATTGGATTCTAACACCCTCTAGAGTGCTTTCTGTTGGTTAGTCGTGGTATCAGAGGAGTTGGAGCTAGAATTGTGTTTCCATTACTTTTTCTATTTGTTTTTCGATTTCTCTGTATGTCTTTGTTTTAGGAAATCGATGAGTGTCTAATCCAGGCTAAAGATCGGAGTTACGATGCTTTGGTTCACTTCGGAAAGAGAGGACTGAATGTCGCAGCCAGTGCTGCAGTAACAGCTGCTGCCAAGGTAAAACCTCTCAGAAATGTTAGCGGAATTTGTCAGCAGTCAAAACCTAGCCTTGAGTAACTCACTGTCCTAGTATCTGGCAACTCAGTGCTTATTGCAGGGATAGGCAGCCTTGCCTACTCAGTGTGCCTGGCCTCCCAGAATGCACAGCTACTCTTAAAGTGAACCTGTCACCCAGAATTCAATGGTTGTCCAGGTTGACTTAAATACGGAATTATGTTTCTTCTATACATTGTGCAAGTCAAATCAAAAGCAAATCACTAAATAACATTGCATTTTTATGTGAAGATTTCATTTTATGAAGTTTACTAGCGAGGAACCTCATATCTATTTTTCATGATTTAAAAGGGCATGACTTAAAAAGCATAATGACTAAAAGTCATTGCATCCCGTCTACCCTCTGAAGTGCACATAGGTTCAGTGGGGACCTTAGGCATTTTTTCACATTGTGTCTATGATACCTATAGGTGAAGCCACCAAAAGGCCTTTAAAATCTAAATGCATATTAACCACTTTAAAAGACAACTGTCACCTCAACACTATTTTATATAAAAACCCTTTCATAAGTTTTGAAAAATGTATTGGGGGGTGTGTGTGTGTGTTTGTGTGTGTGTGTGTTTTTGTTTGTTTTTTGCTGGGAGTGATACAGGGAAACTATATAGAGGATTCAAACGCTGTCTGACCCAAGGTGCTGTCAGGGTTGCTGGTGTCTTTCCTGGGCCCTACCACACGCTGCACGCTCTCGCACTGAGTGCTCTAATGAGCGCCGAATTTGGGTCCAAATTACTCATTTGCTGAACCAAATTCAGATCCAAATGACGCATTCATCGGACAGAATTTGGCACAATCCAAAGACACCCTGAATCAGCCTCCTATGGTTTTGTACCACCCACGAGTCATCTGGAACTTTAAGATGACATGGGCTAATAGAAAACGAGCCAACCTATTTATATTATTATTTATAAAGTGCCAACAAATTCTGTAGCGCTGTACAATAGGTGTTTTAATAGACATGTATTTGTAACAAGACAAGCTTGACGGAGACAAAGGGTGTAGAGGGCCCTGTTGAAACAAGCTTACATTCTAGAGGGAGTGCTGTAAAGTGGCACAAGAGGTAAGGGAAGGATGTATCTCATGCATGGGAAAAGTAGGTTGCTAGAACAGGGAAGGGTTAGTTTTTTTATATGACACAGTTGCAGGAGAGAAAGCAGGGTGGGTAACTAAGATGTTGGGAGGGAAGGCTATTAACAGTTTAATTGAAATTAGTTTTTAATGATCTTTTGAAGGAACTGAGGCTGGGTAAGTGTCTAACGGAGCAGGGAAGGGATTTGCACAGGAATGGCGCAGCTTTACAGAAGTCACTTACCTATCCTTGTTGCCATGTTGCGGTTCTACTTAGCCCAATAGCGCTTTTTTGTGTATTCTGATTCTGGTATCCAATTATTGGCTTGTTGAACATTTCTTCTGACCTCTGTATGCCTTTGACCTTGGCTAATATACCATTTATCCAGTTTTCTCATGCCTTTGACCTTGGCTAATATACCATTTATCCAGTTTTCTCATATCTTTGACCTCGGCTATTTACTCTGACTCTGTCCATCATTAGTCCGGCCACTGTAAGGACAAGTAAACAGCGAGTTTCTCTTTTGTTGTGTCGTGGGTATCTGTGTTTTGGTTCCTACACTAACCTGACAGGTGCATGCATATGGCCAAAAGATCTTATCATATACTAAAGGTAGGAAGGAGTCTCTAATTTTTTTTACATATGCTTTAACAAAGAATCTATTTCCTTTTGAAATGTGATAAAAAGATCATTATATAAAAAAAATGTTTTCGGGTGACAGTTGTCCTTTAAATTTAGAGGTTTTATTTAAATAGATTTTGGGTTTCCCCACCATTAGTTTTTGCCAAGCATTCTTCAATTTTCAGTTTTTCAGGCCTCTAAATCCTAGCAAATAATCCTGTATGTAAATCAACCCACCGTCAATGTTTCATAATGCATGCCAATGGAAACCAAGACGAACATATTTGTAAAGATTAGCAGAAAGCAGAGATGGTATATTAGATGCCCTTTTTTCTTCTAGAAATGTATTATGTTTCTCTATGGCATGTCTCCAACAATGCATTGTCTGCTTTTTATTTACTGGCGTCCATATCAACAATCTAAGGTGAGATTCCATAAAGATAACCGCTCCTAACGTAGTACATTTCTAATTTATCAGAAAGGTAGATCATATCATTATTGTGTCTTTAGAAGAAGTTATGTTAGTAATCATCTCCTATCGTTTGTGCCAGCGGTTCGTCCCGGCTCCTCCTGTCTCCTACCCAACTTCGGCTTGATTGGCTTTGCTTGGAGACATTTAACCATTTAGGGCAATCCTATCTCACTTTCACCACTCCAACATGCTGGCTTTATTTCCAACACATGATTATCAGAACAAAATGAAATCTGTATACTTCTCTAGCTAGCACAAGTTGCATTTGTTAGAGGAATGATCAAAGCAACTACACAGAATGCAGTTGCGGTTGCTGTGACTGAGCATGAGGAATATCTGTAGGAGGGGTCTCCTGCTCTCTCATGCTAGTATTTTGATGCTAAATGTCATCTTTCAATGATTAGAACATTTCTGTTGCTTGCTCTGTGTTTGGCATAATCTGCTAATTGCTTCGATATAATAGTGTCTTTTGGCACAATGGCTTCTTCCCTCCCCAGGTGTCTCAGCGACTTTACATGTTCTATTTTACGGACCATAGAAAAGGGCAGGTAATTGGCTGGGTGACATACTAACAAATACTGATCACACCAGTTACCAATGTCACTGCAATGCACTGTGTACCAAATCTGGGTGAAATGTTTGCGTGAGTTCTGGGGATAAGTACATTTAGATGGAACAGTTGGAACTTTGTGAGTAATTCATAAAATGGCAACTTTAATGAAAAAAGTATACGAGTGTCTCACTCTGTATCACTGTGTGTCTCTCTCAATCCTTCCAGTGTCTCACTGACTATTATCAAGTGTCTCTCCCAATCCTTCCAGTGTCTCACTCTATATTACTGAGTGTCTCCCTCGATCCTTCCAGTGTCTCACTGTATATCACTGAGTGTCTCTCTCAATCCTTCCAGTGTCTCACTCTATATTACTGAGTGTCTCCCTCGATCCTTCCAGTGTCTCACTGTATATCACTGAGTGTCTCTCTCAATCCTTCCAGTGTCTCACTCTATATCACTGTGTGTCTCTCTCAATCCTTCCAGTGTCTCACTCTATATCACTGTGTGTCTCTCTCGATCCTTCCAGTGTCTCACTCTATATCACTGTGTGTCTCTCTCAATCCTTCCAGTGTCTCACTGAATATTATCAAGTGTCTCTCCCAATCCTTCCAGTGTCTCACTCTATATCACTGAGTGTCTCTCTCGATCCTTTCAGTGTCTCACTCTATATCAGAGTGTCTCTCTCGATCACTCTTTATCACTGTGTGTCTCTCTCAATCCTTCCAGTGTCTCACTAAATATTATCAAGTGTCTCTCCCAATCCTTCCAGTGTCTCACTCTATATCATTGTGTGTCTCTCCCAATCCATCCAGTGTCTTACCAAGTCTGACAGTGTCTCTCTCAATTCCACCCACATTTCACCATCTACCCCAGTCTAATTCTCTCAAAGCCTTATGTGTCTCTCTCCATCACACCATCACCTGTGTCTCTACATTTATTCATGCTTCTGTCTGCTAGGTATCTTTCCATCTTTTTATGTTTATGCCTCTTCCTGAAACAGACATCCACCACCGCTGCAGTGCTCTCTGTGTGGTGGAGGTGGTAAAGATATGATATTATATCTCCACTTGTCCCCACATTATCATGGCACTGCTTACTGGTATGGTGGCAATGATTACTAGTAGTGGAGGTCGGAGCAGTAGAAGCATTGGCCACTGTTCTCATCCTAAAATATTAAATGTCTATGTCCTGTACATTTTGTCTGCATATGCTGTGTACATGACTAGTACCATTAAAGGGACACTACAGACACCCAGATTACTCACTGAGGTGGTCTAGGTGCAGTGTCCCTGTTCTCTTAACCCAGCACTATAAAACATTTTAGTTTTAGAGAAAGTCCAGTGATAAAACTGCCTGTAGTGGCGCCTCCTGCAAGTTCATGGAGTTTGACTCTGTGAAATGACGCTAGACGTCCTCACGCTTTGCATGACGACGTTCAGCATGTTGAAAATTTCTATAGGAAAGCATTGATAGGAAAACATTGTTTCAATGCTTTCCTGTGGGGAAGGCCTAATGCATGCGGCTCTCGCTGCACATTTTCATTAGGTTCCCTTGTCGTCTGACGTCAGAGGATGTGGAGACTGATTCAGCACTGAGGGACATTGGCACTGACATTAGGTAAGTGTTTAAAGGGTCTTGAACCCTTTACATGGCCAGGAGGTGGGTATGGGTAAGGGGGAGCAAAGGATCACTGTAGTGTTAGGAGTACAGCTTTGTATTCCTAACACTATGGTGTTCCTTTAAATAAACTCTATCGCCCTACTAATTATTTACAACCTCACCTAAAATGAACAGATGTATAAAATTCAGCAAATAACCATGAAATCTCTATAGACTCACATTGGAAGTACAATGGGTCATACTCCAGGGCTCAGTGACTTTAAACCTGGCACTGTGATAGGATGGAACCTTTTGAACAAGTCATGAAAGTTCTGCCTTACTAGACCTGTACTGGTCAGCTGTAAGTGCTATTATTGTGAAGTGGAAGTATCTAGAAGCACCAACAGCCCAGCATGAAGTGGTAGACCATACATCCTCACAGAGCGGATACCCTGACTACTGTGTGTAGCTCATAAAAAACACCTCATCTATTGTATCACACACTGCAGAGTGCCAAACTACCTCTGGAAGCAACACCAGCACAAGAACGGTGTCAGGAGCTTCTGGAAGTGGGTTTCCATGGCTGATCTGCTGTACACAGGCCTCACATTAACATGGCTGAAGTGGTGTAAAGCAGGCCGACACTGAACAATGAAGCAATAGAAACATATTCTTTAGAGTGAAGGATCAGGCTCCTCTATCTGGCAGTTTGATAGGAGAATCCGGATATGTCTTGGATGTATAGTGCCTCCTTAAAGTTTAGAGGAGGACACGTAATGGTCTGGGGCTATTTGGGCTAGGACCTCTCAGCTCCAGTAAACGGTTATCTTAATGCTACAAGATACAAAGACATTTTAGACATTTAAATGCTTCCAACATTGTAGCAACAGTTTGTGGAAGGCCCTCAAATGTTCCAGTAAGATTGTGCCCCTGGGCACAAAGCAAGGTCCATGAAGATATGGGTTGACAAGTTTGGGGCAGAGGAACTCAAGTGCCCTGTTCAAAGCCCTGCAATCAAGTCAATTGAGGTTAAACTCCATTGAACCATTGTAAACATTGTAGCAACAGTTTGTGGAAGGCCCTCAAATGTTCCAGTAAGATTGTGCCCCTGTGCACAAAGCAAGGTCCATGAAGATATGGGTTGACAAGTTTGGGGCAGAGGAACTCAAGTGCCCTGTTCAAAGCCCTGCAATCAAGTCAATTGAGGTTAAACTCCATTGAACCACAACTTCTGTGCCTGACCTCACAAATTCCCACAGACACAATCCAAAAGGTGTGCAAAGGATTGTCAAAAAGAATGGCAGCTCTTATAAACACGTGCAAGAGGGGTGTTGCAACTCCACATATGAGTTGATGAAATCACATATGGAATCTCATATTAGTATGATGGTCAGATGTCCACATACTTATGACCGTACAGTTTATGTATTAAAAAAGAGGAAAACAAAAACAAAATGAGAACGACTGCCCCATCCAGAGAACAGGGAATTATCCTAGCCTCTCTCTCTCCATTACTGCGTTAAAGGCCACATCTCTCTATACATAAATATACTGCTACATTATGTGCTCCAAAAATGTTTGCATCTCATCTCAAATATGATATGAATTTTTAATTCAATGCACACAGCTTCAAAAGCGTGCTGTCTTTTGTGATTGCAGAAACTCAATGTAGGCAATGGCATTTCTTGAATATATAATTACATAATACCATTGTTTGCTCCTCCAACTCCCGATTTAACCCTTTCTCTGTCAGTATGACCATGAGATAATAATAAGCCTTTTATTGTGGATTCGATCCACTCACTGTATCGTGTGCTGGATGACATTATGTGTTACACAGTTTGGTTTCTTCCCAGATTACCAAGTTGCGTACCGCATTTACTGAAGCCATTTATTAATATAATGCCCTATTATTCCTTGGACCATGTGCTGACCCTTTGAAAAGAAGATGATTAGATGCCTGTTGTATTATAATGTATTGCTATTGTGGTTCACGAAAACCCTGAAATGACCTTCCACCAGCCACAAACTACAGTAACCAGAACATTATAATTGTGCCCTGTGTGATATATCTATCTCCCGACTGCAAATGACAGACACTTTGTGACAGGCTTACAACAGATTGCAATACAGGGAGATTGCCCAGCCGGCTTGGCTTGTGTAGGGTTATTTAACTTTAGGCTTTCTCCCTCTGCATCCCCTCTTATCTGCATGACAGCACCTGTTCTGCTTATATAACCCTTGCTGTGTAAAACTGGATTATGTGTGATTTGCCGTGGCTTGCATGAGTTTCCTAGGGCTTGTTTTCCCCCTGGAGACAAGGAAAGGGGATACTGTTTCAGGCTAACGTGATACATTTAGAGTGTTAGCTTTCAATACCTTTCAGATCTCTTATTCGGGCAGGTCTTCCATGGCTGAAGGACAGATTTAGAGTGCTCATCATCTAAATTTACTTAATAAAGGTATCACATTTACTCTATGTGTCTTCTGTATTTCCTTAGCTAACAAGTAACAACTAGTCTAGGTTTTTTTTCTTTTAAATTTAGTCGAAAAGAAAGAAAAACATGCAAGAGGTTTGGATCACTTTTCAGTGTGAGCGACTATAGTAGCTAACAAATCAAATTCAATTGACTGTATCTCTGTCCTAAATGTTAAAGGGGCACTAAAGTGTCAGGAACACAAACATGTATTCCTGACACTATATTTCTAAAACCATGGATTAGGTGGTCGGCCTGCCATATCTCGAGTTAGAAAGGTGATTTACCCACCTTTTTCCAGCGCCGCGTTTTGCTCCTTGTATCCAGCCCCGTCCTTGATCCGCTTCCTTGGCTGACATCATCAGATTTGATGATTTCAGCCAATCCAAAGCTTTCCCATATTGGAAAGCTATAGCGCATGCGCAGCAAAAAGCCTTGCTGCACCAATCAGTATCTCCTCATAGAGATTAATTGACGTAATGCATATCTATGGCGAGAGTTCAGCGTCTCCATGCTGAGCGCCAAGACGCTGAACGGCAGTGCTGCACAATATGAGTGTTTACATTAAAAAGCCAGCAGAGACAGGCTATACTCACCAGAACAACTACATTAAGCTGTAGTTGTTCTGGTGACCATAGTGTCCCTTTAACTAGATGTCCTTCAGATCACTATGCTGTTTTGTAGCCCTAAAGGAATATAAGCCTTTATGTTTCGGATCAGTTCTAAAATATTTAAAAAGATAGCATTTAAGCAGCCATTCAAGACAACATCAGTTGTTTCCTTGAAGATATAGTATTATTGTGTTGTTTTTTTTTAAAGTAGAACAGATATTTGGTGTTAAAAACATTTTGGAAAATCTGAAATAATTTTGTCGCTAAGATCCATAAAGCTGTGTCCCTTTATAGATCTTAGGTCAATGTATCCTCCACCCATTACTGTCTTTATTTTATCGTTGTCTCAGAAATCCGGAACCACCAGGGTTATATGGGGATTATTACATGCTGCTGTTTGAAATCAGAGTTACTCAATGTACAAAACTCCCCAGATTAATGATGTCCTTGATGGACCAAAGTAAAGCCAACATTGCATGTTGACTGTGCTGTGCTCCTATTGAGAAGCTGCTTTTGTAGTGGTAATGTTGCTAGTAGACTATGGGCACCATCCCCTGGTTGTCTAAACCGTACATTACTGCATTAGCAATATTATTATTGTCAGTATGAGGATGGTAGGGATAGGCTGAGATGGTCAGCATATTAATTACATTAAACATTTAATTTCAACAGAATGAACTGACGTGGTCTATTAGATTGGCAGTTTATATTTTTGATTCACTAATTTAGTTTCTATAACTGACATATTTCATATTTGGCTGGCATTCATATTTCCTTAATCAGTTTAGACCATACCTTAAAAAGTAAATGCCAGTGCAATCAAAAGCAATATACAGAATTAGAAATGAAGTATATAAAATAATTCCAAAGAGACATCTTAAAATTAACAAGTCTCCTGAATAAAACATTAAAGTCAATTAATCCCCCTGTTGATTCCACAACAGTGTAAATACAGAGGCAGTGTGTTCTTTTGAAGCAATTAAATAGCAACAGTACCCATTCAGCTTTTCCCACTGCAGGTGTAATTGCTTGCAGATGTCACAATACCGCAAAGAGAGAACCGAGGAGAGTGTGATATTGCAATTTATTAAATACACACGGAAGGAAAGGAAAACTCTGATACTCTAAAATTGTGAGCTCAATAATAAATCTCCCATAAAGTTCTTAAGTCAATGCACAGCTAGAGTTGTTTACAACTAAGATAGCGGTTCTCAAACCAACGCGTTTCGCCCACCTCGTGGGCTTTCTTTTCAAATATATTTTATTAAAGAGATATTTTTGCAATAACAATAACTTGTACAATGAAAAAGAAAATTATTGGCTTTCTCAAGGTCTTTCTATCATTACATATTTGAGTGGGACTTATTTCTTACGCAGTTTAAATCATGCTCTAGAGACGTAGAATATGTGTAATGCTCTAGAGATGTAGAATATGTGTAATTAGATCAATAATTCCTTGTTTATCATTGTCTTAGGGACAAGGAGCGCTGTCTGAAAGACTTCGGAGCTTTAGCATGCAAGATCTCTCGACCATCCGTGGGGACACACCTTCACCGGTCACAGTGCGGGCAGCAAGCAGCAAGAATGTCAAGTCAAAACTTAGTAGAAGTGCAACACAGACCTCCGAGGCCTCAGGTTAGTGAAGAAGTAAAAAAAATGCTCTGCCCCTTGTCCTCACATTATACCATCCATCGTTCACCAAAGTAATGCAAGACATCTTAGTTATGTGTTATTCTTGTCGATGTCCTGTAAGATCTATAAATAGGAAAACTTGCCTTCCATCATTGATAGCTTATGTAGGGCATGACTAAATGTATGCTTGCACCTTGAATATTCATTTCATTCTAATAGGAAATGTAATTGTTTCTCGACCAGCAGAACTCTGGAGGGGCACAGTCCTCAGTATTTAGTATGAGCTGTTGTCTGTTTTAGAGACTGTGGCTGATCTTTGGATCATTAGAAATTGTGGTTTATATACATTGTTTCACCTTGAATGTCGGGTCATGTTTTGGCTTAAAGCGGCACTGTCATGGCCGAATTCCTTTTTTTTTAACCCCCCCTCCCCACTCCACTACATCTAACTGACCCCCTAGTCACCCCCAAATGCCCCTAAGCCCCCCATATTACCTATTTTTATTCTTTATTTTCTGTCCCGATCTATATTCAGGGCGCCGCCATCTTTGTTTGGGTAGAGGAAGTCACCCACACTAGATAGCGCTGTGAGATTCCCGCATATGCCCAGTTAAACACTTGGACATGCGAACGGGAATTTAATCATTCACAGCGTGGGAAAATTCAAAAGAACTTTCCCACGCCGTGTAAAAATTCCAAAGAAAGAAAGTTCTTTGGAATTTTTACACGGCGTGGGAAAGTTCTTTTGAATTTTCCCACGCTGTGTAATTTGACTCATAACACTCTGATTGGTGGGCTTGGAATCTAACCAGAGTGCTCTTTGTCATTTTACACAGCGTGGGAAAATTCCAAAGAACTTTCCCACGCTGTGTAAAATGACACAAAGCACTCTGATTGACTTAAACCAACCAATCAGAGTGTTCTTAGCCTAATTGCAGGGCGGGGCTAGGATTTATAAGCCTCCCCCCGCCCTGCAGAGCTCAGTCTGCGCGGAGCCCTCCATGGTTGAAGATGGATTATTTTTTTTGTGCTCGGGTTTTTTCTTTTTCGTGTTTTTTTTTTTTTTTGAGCTCTGGTTTTTTTATTTTATTTTATGTTCGATGGGTATGATGGTTTTTTATTTAGCCTTTTTTGGGGCTGAAAAATGAAGATTTTAGAAAAAAGAAGACGTCAAATGGTAAGTTTAGTTTTTATTTTCAGGTTAGTTATTTTATTCCCCCCCTCACAATTTTTTAGGGTGAGGGGGCAGGTAGGGGGTAACTTTTTTTGGGGTGGTTGACTAGGGGCTTGGGGACCCCTAGTCACCTTTGATGGGGGGGATTTGTCTTAGGGCCTCCACGCGCTGCTCAAGGGTGGTGGCCGGGAGGGAGGACAGTAGGTCCCTCCCCATTGTAATTTATGGCCTCCACGCACCACTCAAGGGTGGTGGCCGGGGAGGGGAGAACAGTAGGTGTCCCCCCCTCGATTGTCCATTATGGCCCCCACCCACCGCTCAGGGGTGGGGCCAATAGGTTTTTGTTTTTTAGTGAGCAGCCACTGGCTGCTCACTGTTTACTAGACATGCCCCCTACTCGCGCTATAGCGAGTAGGGGCATAATTTACTAATACTAAGTAATCTTTACTTAGTATTAGTACATTTGGCTGAAAGACCAATTTAGGTCTTCAAGCCTTTTGGAAGATAACTCCCTAATACCGTGGGAATTAGGGAGTTATCTACTAAGCGGCTGCAAGATGCAGCCACGGCACTAACTGAATTGGAGTTTCATTTATTCTAATAAAATTCCAATACGAACAAAGTGCCGAATTGAGTTCTAAAAGAAACGAACATACTGTTCTCATTCAGTTAGAGCTCAATTCGGCAGTTTCGTCTAAAATGACAGGAAGCATTGCGAGATCACAGAGGAAAGGTAAGAATTATGGGAAAATTGCTCTGACCAGCGGAAATGAAGCACACTTTGCTCCTCCGCTGGTCAAAGCTAGTCAAGCGGAGGAAACCTCCATAAGGCAAAGAGTCCCTACTTTTTCTTATGATTTTAAAGAAAAGTAAAGAAGACAGGAAGAAAAGAACAGATCCTGAGAGAGGGGGAGAAGAGGAAGAGATTGAGGAAAGGTAAGTTCGGCATTACAGTGCCGCTTTTAAGTGCATATTTATGGTTTTATGGAGCTAGTCGGAACTAAAAACCATCTAAAAACCACCCTTCCAAATTTGATTTGATTACTGTGAAAATGATGTAGGCTGCTAGTATTTTAGTATTTTCTTCTTTGACAGAAGCAAAAATCAAGATACTGCTGTGATATGAGTGTTGTAAAATGGGCATTTATCTTTTCAGATCCATACTGCAGGACATGGGTGAGTCAGGCCTAGGGTGGGAGGCAGTGATTATGCAGTGTTCTGCAGCATTGCTCAGAAAAGGGTGTGCTCTGCCTGAGTACATATTAAAAACGTTCTAATGGACCGAGTGAAAGATATAGTACATAGAGGAACCAGGAAGCATGCCATATACGTTGCCACAAATTAAATTTTGTATAAAATACAGACCGGATACAGCGATAGCCACATCTACAGAGATAAGGCAGATACATAATAACATATATTATGGATCACTGCAGAAAATTCCCAGAACAGCTGGGTCCTAAGTCATTACTGTTCCATTGCATCTGTGACTGCTGTGAGGCTTTATATAATTTGAAGGTGTATTGTCATATATGGTGCAATTCAGTATATGTATGCATTCCTCAAAATACACGTATAATAATGTAAACAGCACTGGTCGGCCAGTGAGCAGAATTATAAATGGAACAGGTTCAACAGGGTGATGCACAGAGTAAGCCAAGACACCCACCAAAACTAACCTTCCTTCAGCCATCCACTGGGGACATGTATTGCAATCTAGACATTATTGTAGCTACATGAATTACGGCATTGACTGGTGAGAATACATCTGCGTCAGATATCTAGTTTAGGAACATTAAAGGGACACTATAGTCACCAAAACAACTTTAGCTTAATGAAACCGTTTTGGTATATAGATCATGCCCATGCAGTCTCAGTGCTCATTTATATGCCATTTAGGAGTTAATTCACTTTGTTTATGAACCCTAGTCACACCTCCCTGCATGTGACTTGCACAGCCTTCCATAAACACTTCCTGTAAAGAGTCATCTAATGTTTATCCTTCCTTTATTGCAAGTTCTGTTTAATTTAGATTTTCTTATCCCCTGCTATGTTAATAGCTTGCTAGACCATGCAAGAGCCCCCTCTATGTGAATAAAGTTAAATTTACAGAGCAAGAGATAAAATTGTTTAAGGTAAATTACATCTGATTGAAAGTGAAACCAGTTTTTATTTTTTTTATATGCAGGCTGTGTCAATCATAGCCAGGGGAGGTGTGACAAGGGCTGCATAAACAGAAACAAAATGATTTAACTCCTAAATGGCAGTGAAACCTGAGAGGCATGATCTACACACCAAAACAGCCTCATTAAGCTAAATTTGTTTAGGTGACTATAGTGTCCATTTAACACCTCTTAATTCACTGTATAATTATTTTGTTCTCCAATTTACATTAACGCCATTGTAATTTGTTGAACAATACCAAACTAGCTGATATTTGAGTCTACAATTACCTTTCATTTTGTTTGTCTGATTCATATCCACTTCCATATATTTGAATATCTGTGTTTTTGGTCAAGGCAAGTAAAATTTTGGCCAATTATTTAACCAGTTTTGTTTCGGGTACATTTGTTTGTTTGTTTTCAGTGTTGAAGGATGCAACTTGTTTATAGTCCTCTAGTTTTTTCTTTTTTTTTAAAGTTCGGTTTGCATTTGCTTAGTTTACTATACTTACTGTGAGGAAGGCATTGTGCTATACTTACTCTGAGGAAGGCCTGATTTGTAGAGAAGTTCCAGTAATAAGGTCGAATGAGGGAGAACTTGTGGCTATGGCAGCATTTTTTTGTGGCACATGGAGTGTTTCCATTTCCTCGCTGGAGAAATTATAGCCAAGTTGGTATTGAAGATCATCCCTCACTGTAGAGTACGAAGCTACAGAGTCTATAAATTGCAACTGGCTTGGGGCTGAATTGAGGCCCTGTGTGACTGCAGATTGCTAATTTCATTGAGCAATTTATTAGAATAAAGAAATAACATGCCTTTTAGAAACATTGTTCTCAATTACTGGGAAATGCAATTTAAATACCAATGGAACAGAAATAATAGTCCTTTATTACTTTAACATAACTCGTGATTCATGTTATATTTTAGCCGTATCCAATTGGAATATTGTTTTTCAGATGGATTTTGTCCAACCGCTGTGAACAACATGGCTTGCTGTCACTTTATGTGATTTAGATATTGTGCTTGTCCAGTATATGCGGTTTATCTGCTTTTGTATAGTATGCAGCCTTTTTTCAGTCCTGCCCCTTGTATTTGATATTTAGGGTTAATTAATTTGATGTGGTCCAACAGAATATACACATCTACATCATTTACCGCTATGACGGTATTGTAAAATGTATCTTTTAGTTTTGGTCTCTGATCTGTTCATATTTATAAAATTGTTCTAAAATGTCTCCCCCGCCAATTGACGGTGGGGGAGGAGCGTGGGCAGAGCCTGACCCAGCGCCAAGGATCATCCGCGCTGGATTCAGGTAAGTGGGTGAAGGGTTTTAACCCCTTCAGCTCCCCGGGAGGGGGGTGACCTATTAACTCTGTAGTTCCTGGAAAACAGCTTTGTTTTCCTGGCACTCTAAAATCCATTTAATTACGCATTCTCAATGAAGCTGAGAAGAAGACTGACTGTAGGTACAAAGCCCAGACACTCAATATAGTTAGGCAATACTGTTTATATATATATATATATATATATATATATTGTCCAGTATAGTTGTCCTGCATGTATAATGGTGTCGTAGACAATACCAACAGGAATTGGTTTTAATGAGATTATTTAAAAAAAAAAACTTTTGTAAGTTTATTCACCTGAATTGTTGTGAAAGGAAAATTGAATCACAATAATTAAGCTAAAATAGTTGAGTAGGATAGAAAATCCCCACTAGGCTATATCCACAGTAATATACCACCCAAGTGCTCCTATATAGGAGGGACAGTCCCTCTTTTGTGTCCAAATCCCTCCGTCCCTCTGTTATTTCCTAATGCCCCTCTTTTCTAGGAGCTCCAATTGCTGGTGTGTCTGAGTGAGTGTATACCAGAGCTTCACCGTAATAATACTCCCAGTAATATGTCTTTCAGCTACAATAAATGTGTTTAGAAGTCAGTCTGTGTAAATAAGATAACATTTAGTTGCAAAGGTTTATAAGTCACTAAGAATGTTTCAGACCACCCACCCCTGTCTACACCCTTATTCACACCCCTAAATTTAAACTATTGAACGTTTGGGAGGTTTACAGTAAACAAATCACTGTTTAACGAATTTTCCTTTGGCTTATGAATGTTGAGAGAGTTTGCTGCAGGGTGTAGTCGTCCACTACATTGTGTTAAACCTCTCTGGTTTGTACAGCAAAAAAAATCAATAAAATAAATTACTTGAATTTGAGAACAAAAAAAAAAAAGACGTACACTTGTCCTATGCTTACAATAAAAAGCTCTATAAAGGTTCTATAAACCTTAAATGATTACTTATAGACTAAAACATATTCACCTTGCTAGTGAATGAGCAATGTGATTTATCTGTGACACATTGATTGACATTGGCCCCTCTTCACAGTTTGTACATGCTGTTCGGTGGGTAAAATCCTCAGAGGTGAGTTTATATAAAACCAATGTGTGCTTTTCTGCTAACCGTCACTGGATTGGTTTGCTTGGTCTGACAATGCATTCCGTGTGCCGACCAATAGTTTGTTTTCCTACCCTTTGTACATGTATCATTCCTGTTTATGGCTTAACCTTAACTACCACATTCTCAGGCAGGCAGCAGGCGCTCTGCAGCATAGATGAGCTATGTGAGGCACTGGTAAAATCTTGTGTACTTTCTTGTATCTCCAGCCTCACCCCCCGCCCCCAATAATTCTTTCTATCAAGAATTTTGGGAAGTGTGGTACTACATCAAGAGTTTGATAACTCTGCTCTGTATTTTCCCCTTTATTTGCCCATTGGTGATGCAGTGCTCACACAAAATGTTGTTATCCCAAATTACGGTGTTACTGGTATAATGCTGGTACACTAAATGGCATCGATAAACTCTGCTATAGAGATAACAACATATAGGTCTCACCATATTGCAGTATTACAATTCCTATAGTGCTTACTAGCCTATGGGAGCACTACCTGTTAACGAGCCATACTCTGCTGTTTGATATTTAAAGATATTTATTTGCATTGTAATAAGTATCATAATGAAAATGAAGTCACAACAATAATAGTATATACTACATGCTTCTGTTATCCTGCTAATATCTAATGTTCATTAAATAATCTCAGACGCACCTTCCCCCCCATCTGTTGTCTCTCTTCACCTCTTCCCGAAAAAGCTCAACCCAATTAATTTCTTTCTTTACACTTATTCCTGATCCTTAATTATATTAGTAATTTGGAGAGGGCATATATTGTAAGTTTTATATTTATGATAATGTCCAGCCTGAGAAGACAAGTGGAGAGAAAACAATGACTTGCCAGAATAGAATGTGCTTTTCATTGTCATCCGTGACATTTATATCTTATTTACTGTTAGTTATTAACATGTACAATCACATGGCAATTCAATAGAATTCTCTAAAATGCAAGCTCATTGAGCACGGCCCTCAACCACTCTGTTCCTGTACGTCCAACTCGTCTGGTTACAATTACATATCGGTTTGTCCACCCATTGTACAGCGCTACGGAATCTGATGGCGCTATATAAAAAATAAAATAATATTTGCCATGTGTGCAAGCTTTTATGTACATTCAGATTTTACGCTATTGCACGGAAATCAGTTTGTTTGTTTTTTGTTTATTACAGATGCTGGCTGGAAGTGTATAGTTTTTAAAAAAAAGTTTATTCTTTTAATTGTGTGTATTTTTGCTTTGTTAATAATAGCAACAAACTGATAACGTTGGATAAAACTTCCCATTTCAGTAATATAATTTAGACATACACACATTATATTTCATCTCCAACTCCTTTTGTAAAATGGGTTAGAAATATACACTATGCCTTGGATATGGTGGTCTATGCCTTAAATCCTAAATATCACAATGAGGATTTTGTTTACAAATCCCATAAGAACATTTTGATCAGAGTGTCCAGTGGCTCATAGAGGATTCTGGGAAATGTAGGCCTGAAACGGCAGTACAAGCACCTCTGAGCCAGAGCAAGCAGAAGAGCTGTGTCAGCTGACATTACCTTAAACTTAAATTTCCCTAGCGCTTGGTGTGTAAAATCTGTACTGCATGTTGTGTGGAACACAGGGCTGGAATTATAGAATAAGAAGGCTTGTGTTAACAAAATGCATACGTACAAATATATCTGCCCAATGTAAAGGAAATAATATTATATACGGTAAAAAGAAAATGTTTTTATACTCTCTGTCTGTCGAAAAAATTAAGAGACAGTCCTGGGCAATTCGATGGATATGTCTATCCAAATCTAGATTGCATGGTTACTAAAAAGCAACATTAAACGTTATTACAGGGACTTCAGCTTTGGTGTAAAGAAAACATGGGCATCAAGGAACATAGTCAATGCTGACCGTTTGTTCTTGTGAAGTTATACCATCTTTGTGTTAATGATGAAGGAACCCATGGAGATGGCATTTGGTCTGGAGGAGCCCAGATACAAACAGGATCAGTGGTTATAGCTAGAATCCAATCCACACAATAAATGGATTCTCATCTAGGTGTACACAGAGGGCTGACAAGGGAAATGAAGAAAATGACTTAATACCTCTTTGTTGATTGCTGAAATCATTTCAAGAATCAGACAGACATTGATAATAGCAGCATTATTATACATGCTCAGTAGAAGTCGTAAGGGTAGATATATTAGGAGAGATCTATTAAAGTACAGTCTCTTTTTTGAATGTATTAGATCAAAGTAAAATAGCAGAATTGGAAACATTTTAATACCCAGCTATAGTCACAGCTTAGCTACTTTATTGCTAGATTCTGGCAGTGGGATTTCAGTTTGCTACAAGGTTCTAAACTCTAAGGATAAAAAACCCCCATTACATTATTTCCGCAGTATGAGGAAATCCCGTAAAACACAGGCTTTTTTTGTGGAGCTTAATAAATCTGACTGCATAGGTCGTCATTTATTAGTAAATCAAGCCAAGTACATGCTGGGCCAGATTCCAATAATGATACAGTATATATTACAGAGTCGTTTATCCTGAAAGTCATACATTATCCCAGTCCTTGGCTGCATTATTTGTCTTTTTGTGCTGCAGTCACTTTATACATTCCGGGGTTTACTCATTAATACAATTTAGCCGTATCTATTCAGCGTAAAGCTCTTTTTTTTTTTTTTACATTGTTGAACAAAGATGCACATGTGGGTTTATTCCTTAGATCACAAATTTCAGTAAACTGAAAACCAAATTCCAAAATTTGGACTCAAATAACCTAACTGTGAGAGTTGTTGGAGAATTTTCCCAAATCAGTTTAACAGTTTGCTGTTTAGTGAAAAAAAAAACAACAACCCACACTTACAGCTGCAAAATTATGTTGCTTAACTTGAACGTGTTAAAATCTCTCAGCAGATCAGACTTGGTGGATTTAAAGGGACACTCCACTGCCCAAATAACTGTCTAAACACAGCTTGCAAAAGCTGCAGTTCTCTTCCCTGCCCAGACTTTCTGTGGCTGTCCAATCACAGGTTTCCCAATTTAACTCAATGAGAAGTCTTTGCAAGGCAGGTGCTCTAACCAATTGCTGCCTCTTAAATTTAGCCCCACTGAGCTAAACAAACCAGGAAGTAACAGGACCTGTTGTCTGAACGACATCAAGGAGGATGTAACAACATTCATTTATAAAAGTGCCAATTTGTTATTGAAATCAGCAATTTTTGTGAAATGAAATGAGGACAAAGTTTTTACACATAAAGTATTTCAGCAAGGTAAACTGATTCAGGGGTCTGTGATATCCCTTTAATATCTTATCACTTTTTTTAAGAACAGCCCCAAAAATGCAAACGACATGAAATCTGCACAGCATAAAACCAACGTAAAATTATCGTAAAGTAAAAATGCAATTGCTCCCTATATTAGTTCCTAATCAGGAGCTTCCTTATTGCAGGGTTAGCTCATTGGTGGAGAGAAATTAGCTGAGGTTTATTGCCGATGGGCCTATCCCTGCATAGCTGGACACAGCTCGTGAGAGAAACTGAAGTTTCTGTTTAGCAGTTTCTGGCTGCCGGGTGTCAGTAGGTATGGCGGAGAGTGGCCCCAAGTAGGAAGTCAAACCGTTCCAAAAAGGTTAGACTACTGATAGTAGGGGGGGAAAGCAAGGGCACCATAACCACTACACGTTGCTGTAATGTTATAGTGCCAAGAGTGTTAATTTAAGGAGTTTGAACATACCATTTGACTAGAGTAGCATACAAGATTAGAGTTGTATATTTCCCCAAATGAACAAATACTTCCAAAATCCCAGTTTCTATAAAAATTTATGTCCACAATTTGCCTGTTCATAAAATACCTTTCTCTGAATGGATCTCTGCCAGGGTAATATGTTCGTGTGATTCTACCATCTCATGCAAGAATTAGTAAGTCACTGCTTGGCCTTTGCTCCCTGCCTTATTCACCAATGCCGGTAAGTAACTAAATGGGCCGTGGCTACAATATTCTGTCTCCGAGTTGAAACATGCGGGAGCGTAATTAAGCCATAGAAAAAGTCAAAGTACTGTAATAGCTCCATAATGTGGAAATAAGCATGAAACACATCTCATCTCAATTTTATTACGTTGTTTTTCCATCAAAGCTAAACCTTGTAATGTACTCTCTATAAATAGTGGTAAGGATTAGATAGGGCTGGGGGAGAATGGCGTCAGGAGGGGGGGGGGAGAAGCTAGTAAAATTACCAAGGTATAGAAAAATTTCTTTTATCTATAATTTTGTATGTTTGTAGGAAATATTATTATATTTTTTTATGGAAGTTAAACTTACAGGAGTAAACAATAATGATACCCTTTAGTGTTTATGTTTTTTTTTTTTTTTACTTGTCTTCTGTAATAATAATTAGTCATAATAATAGCAATAATTATATCCTGATTCCTTGCTCTATCACGTGGGAATTAAAATAATTTTCTCCACTTTGGAAACTGCCACAATGTCATTTTAATGAGGCTGCTTACTTTTAGGTCTTTCTGAATCAAAGGATATTATACAGGCAAACCAAGTGATGAAAGCAATTTGCTATTATTGTACTTAAGTTTAAGTTGTTAGACTAGCACCCCTTAAATATAAAATACCCCCGGCTACACACCAACACAATACAATGAGATATGGTCTTGTACCTATTTGGAGTTTGCCTGTAGTCATTGCAGCCAAAATCTAATAGTGAAAAAAGTTTGGAAAAGTCTTAATAGAGCATTAAATATCAAATCTAAACATGTTTTAATCATGATCATAATGAAGAGTGAATAAAATAACATGGTTACAGAAATAAGTGATGTTTTGATTTATTAAGAATTGAAGTAATGCAGTGTGATAAACTATGTAAAATTGTTTAGATCTGTTTACATGACCTTAGTAAAAGTACTGATTATATTATTATTCTTTCTCTTCTTTCCTATGTGCCCATGGTTTGGGGACTTGCGCTGTAAGTGTCACAGATTTGCATGGCTGTTTTGTTGCTACAGATTAAAGGGAATCTCTCATTAAAGTTTAGATAATAAAGTGTACCTTGCAATATGTTGATAAACTCTCCTTAGAGAATTTCCGATCACTGAGAATTGTGGCAAACTGGCATACATTTTAATCCAAAACTATTATTATACATCTGCTGGATGATACTAACGGAAGCTCTGTCTGCCATCTGTAAGCACTGGAATCGGAAAATTCTACAAAATTTTACAGCTGTTTTCCATGTCAGCTCTTGTGGTGTAAAATATCAAATTCCCTAGTTTATTCCTGTCCAATTTTCCACTATTCCAATTTTAGGAAGTAGGCATTCCAAACCCCTGATTTGGGCTGATTTAGTGTAATGAACTGGTACACAGCCTTTGTGGATCACTTGTTGTTGATGATCCGATAAATGATGAGTTGGCTGAAGGTAATGCCGTAGCCCATTAAGTTCTCAAGAACTGGAGAAGAGGTTTATTAATCTTGTAGGATTAGGAGTTTATTTAAAAGCATTTTGTTAAACAAGCAGTGAAAATTAACACCTTGTTCACCTTGAGGAATTTAATAAATTTATGTGTGAGTGGCAGTCTAGATGTTAAGGTTCTGAACAATAAGTATATAACCTATTATACCCCACATAAACTAATAGGGGATCCATTAACTCTCCAGTCTCAAACACAACAGGACACAGGCATGTTCACCCTTCAATCCTTGGCACTCAGGGTGAAGACTATAAGCAGAGGTCTTCCTCGTTTTTTCTGCTTTCCTTTAAAAGGAAAGTGACCGGAATTAATCAGCTCACATTTGATTCATAAAGGTTCACTTGATTGTCTTGGCACTTGCTCCCCACGTGTGAAGTCTTAGAGTGAGACAGTAGTTTCAGTCTGATTGTATTGAAGGTGCTGTAGATGCTCAGCTCTAGATTGTAAGCCTTTCTCTAACACAGGTTGGAAAGGCATTGCGCTGCTCTAACCTCCAGAAAAAAGGGGTAACCAAGCAATACTAAGTTCAGAATGGGTTAATTAGGTAAGGAGAGATTGTGTTCATGACATAGAATGCCTTTCCTGGGATTACACCTATCGACTGGTTCACTGAATACTCTTACCTGCTGTTGGGTACCGTACGGTGGGTTTCCCTGTTTTTATGCTTTCTATATATTTTGTTTCATGCTGTAGGCAGCATTGTTTTCATGTTTAATATGCTATTTTCTTGCTCTCCTTGTGTTAAATATAGCAGTGAAGGCCAAGATATTAGACAAAGTCAAACTGTTAGACATGGACAATCTGAGATTTATAGCCAGTCTGATAGAAATGCTATAGACATGGTCAGTCTGTTAGATATGGTCAGTGCTGTAGATGTGGTTTATCTGATAGATATGGTGAATATGGTCTGTCTTCTCAATAGGGTCAATGTGGTTGACATGGAGTAGCCGTAGATACAGTTACTGTGGTAGATGTGGTCTATCTAGTAGATACGGCCAACGTGGTTTATCTGGTAGATATGACCAGTATAGTAGATATAGTCTGTCTGGTAGATATGACCAGTATAGTAGATATAGTCTGTCTGGTAGATATGACCAGTATAGTAGATATAGTCTGTCTGTTAGATATGATCAGTGTAGTAGATATAGTCTGTCTTGTAGATATGACCAGTATAGTAGATATAGTCTGTCTGGTAGATATGACCAGTATAGTAGATATAGTCTGTCTGGTAGATATTATCAGTGTAGTAGATATAGTCTGTCTGGTAGATATTATCAGTGTAGTAGAAGTGGAGTAGCTGAAAAAAACAGTCAGACTGATAGATGTGGTCTTTCTTGTTGATATGGTCTGTGTGTTAGATGTGGTAGCTATAGTCACTGTGGCTGGCGTGGTCTGTGTGGTAGATATGGTCATTATGGTTAATATGGCTTATCTGGTAGATCTGGTCAGTATGGTTTCCCTAGTCTTTCTGGTAGATATGGTCAGTGTGGTTGATATAGTTTATCTGGTAGATATGGTCAGTGTGGTTGATATGGCTTATCTGGAAGATATGGTCAATGTGGTTCATGTGGTCTTTCTGTTACATATAGTCAGTGTGGTTGACGTGGTCTGTTCGGTAGATATGGTCAGTGTGGTTGACGTTTTCTATCCATTAGATATGGTCATTGTGGTTGACGTTTTCTTTTTGGTAGGTATGGTCACTGTGGTTAATGTGGTCTTTCTGGTAAATATGGACAGTGTGGTTGACGTGGTCTGTCTGGTAGTTTTGGTCAGTGTGATAAACACAGACATTCTAGTAGACGTGAAACTTCTGGAAGATGTGGTCTATCTAGCAGAAGTGGTGTAGAAGGCATAGAAAATTTAGTTGGTTAGGTTTATCTGATAGATGTGGTTTCTTTGCTGGGCATGGTCAGTGTAAAAAGGGTGCCCTCGGCCTGTTTGCAACCCCTTTATTTTGGCCTTAAAATCAGCGCCTGAGTGCTAAGCTACAGATAGTCAGTCTTCTCTAAATCTGCCTATCAATTCACCAAATTAAATGGTTGAGTTACAGCTTTTATGATGTTAGGACAGGAATAAATAAATAAAATACATGATAGATTCCCTTTGACATCTGGTTTTGTTTTATTCCTCATTAACCACCTTTGATTTAATAGCCTGCTCAGCTTTCCTGATAACAGTTGTTACTTCCTGTGTTAGTTTACCTTTGCCAGGAATGGAATAATAAGTGATTTGTAAAGTGCTTTTGTCAATTGTCCTTTGTTGGCTGCACTAATATCTCATCAACGAGTCACATTTAATACATTATTCTTACATTGAATTGATATATTTATTTATAATTCAGATTAGCAGTTTAGCAGCATATCAACTCTAGCTACATTATATAACCATGTCCATTTATAATTGGACTGCAGTTATGGGCTGCCAATTGTCACGTGTGCTGGGGGTGCAAATTGCTCCCGGCATACAAGTGCAAATAACTCTGGATGCACAGTGTACATCCAGACTTCTACCACCATGACCACTTCAAAAAGCAGAAATGATCACGGTGACTGGAGTAGTAGGGATACTCAGTGACATAATGCTCTTACCTTTACTAAGGATTAGTGCAATTCTGTCACTTCAATGATTGTAGAGATTAACCCCAGCTGGCGAGTTGTACGACAGATGTGGGTCTACCTTTTGGCCACCTTTGCTCTAGACCGGGGTTTTAAAAAAATTTTTAGCACAAAATCCCTGGCTACATAAATCCCGCCACTGCTTTTTTAACCTTGTTTTTTAAAATATAGTTTTGTGTTCGCCACAATTCCCTGTGAATAAGTCCCTGAGAGTAATCGTGCTGCTCTGAAATTACTGCAGGTTTTATTCTTGTCCTTAGAACAAAGTTTGACCTTGCCTCTTAGTTCTGTTGCCTCACTAATAACTGTTAACGTGAATAGCGTGTATTCTCAAGGGAAGCTCGGTGTTTTCTTGACAAGGCTCCAGAGTCATGGCTTCCCTCATGTTTTGGCAGTTCCATGGCAACCACTGCTGTATTATCACTTCCTAATTTGCACAGATATATTTTAATATCCAGTTGCCTGTTACATTTAGTTAGCAGTACATGACACACGATTACTTGACAGGGGCCTCTTGTTTATGTGAAATCTGTCCTAAGCCAGTTTTTGAAGTTGGGATTCAAATTCCCACAGATCAACTGCAAAGAAAGGCCCCAGAAACCACAAGGCCATAAAACATATTATATTTTACACATATTTGGTAAACGTTTGTAAATGTATGTCTTCAGGGAGTTGGTATGGGGATATTCACTTAAGTGAGAATTGCCAAGAATCAAACGCAAATGAAAAGTGCTTTTTCGAAATAACCAACCTGAATTTTTTTTTAAATTGATCTAATTTGGCTATTTTGACCTAAATGTAAACATTTACAGCAAATTTTGCTTCCACCAAGAGTCCTATAATTTGTATTTATTTTATAATAAACTAAACATTCTAGTATATGATGTATACATATCAATCTAATACAATGATCATTAATAATATCACTTTAATGACAGAATGTTGTTATAGTTGTGCGATACAATACATTTGCTTTTATGAGTACATCTTGGTAAAAAAAAAAAAATGTTCTTAGAGAACTAGTTGGAAAAAATGATTTATTTTATTTATAGAAACATATGCCCATTACACATGATGAGGAAATAAACTCTATACCTATACACGATGAACCCCAAGGCACAGGTCCCTTGAAACCCCATCAGCATTCTCTGTACATAATTTAAACGTCACTTTTGCTTCTCTCAGTAACTTTTAAGTAACTTTAAGTAAGGTTGTCTTTGGCAGTGAGTATGTTCCAGACTAATTGCTGGGAAGAGTTTCTCAGTCTCTATATTGTTTTCCCTGCGACTCACACTAAGTGTAACTCATGGAGTGGTGCAAACTGACGATTGCTGAGCTCACTAACTGCTTGACGTGCTGCCTGCAGTCGTGTAAAGTTGTGAACGACTCGCTTCATTGTAATGTCTATTTATACCGTGTAGCTTGTTCTGGACTCAGTTGTTGAGGTTGAAGTGGAGGAGCCAGAAGTGACCTCTAAGGCAAACTTTGAGCTAAAAGAAGTGATTTTAGACGATGATGAAGAGGCCAAAGATTTTGTTGTGCTGGATGCAAGGGCCATAAATAACCCAACTGGGAAGAAGGACCGGCCTTTGGAGGTATGGTTCAAACTGGACAGGCTTGGGAAACATTGCTTTCATTTTAGTATCTACAATGCTCCTTGGTAAACAATCATTTTAGATGAATACAAAGGGAAAAATCACATTTAAACAGTATCGCCAGTTTATTTTTTCTTCCCATTTTCTGCAGCAAGCAAGGCTCTTACTAACTGTAGACATAGGTTGTGAGATAATTCCTCCTAGACAGAGCCGTCTTTAATTTTGATTGGACCCTGGGCAAGCATTTACTTGGGCCCCCTGACTACATATAGATACACACAAATACACTACCTGACCCACATGCAGATACACACTGACCGCATATAGATACACACAAGAACATACAAATACACACAGACTACATATAGATACACTGACACACAGATAGACACACACAGATACACAACCTGACACACATGTAGATACACACACTGACATACATGCAGATACAAAGGTACACACACTGACTACATATAGATACACCAACACACACACTGACACACATACAGACACACAACCTGACACACATGCAGGTATACAGATACAAACACTGACACATACAGATACACACTGACTATATACACACACACACAAACACAAACACAAACGGACAACATACAGATACAGAGACACATTCTGACAGACGTACTGACACAGAGACACACACAGACAGCCATACTGAAACACACATACACACAGACATACAGAACCACACGGACACTGACAGACTCACACATAGACATACCGACACACTGACAGACATACAGACATTCTGGCACACATACACACAGACAGACATACTGAAACACACAGACACTGACAGATGTACACACATACAGACATTTTTACACTCACAGACAGCCATACTGAAACACACATACACACAGACATACAGAACCACACAGGCACTGACAGACAGACACACACACAGACATACTGACAGACATACTGGCACATATACACACAGACAGACAGATATACTGAAACACACTGACAGACATATTGACAAACACATACAGAACCACAAGGACACTGACAGACTCACACAGACATACTGACACACTGACAGACATTCTGGCACACGTACACACAGACAGACATACTGAAACAAACATACACACAGACACTGACAGACATACACACATACAGACATTTTGACACTCACAGACAGCCATACTGAAACACACATACACACATACATACTGAACCACACAGACACTGACAGACACACACACAGACAGACATACTGGCACATATACACAGACAGACATACTAAAACACACATACACACAGATACACTGACAGACATACTGGCACACATACACTGACAGACATACTGGCACACTGACAGACATACACACATACATACACACACACACACACACACACACAGACACCATGCAAAATTTGATAACCACCCTCCAGTTTCTTACCTTTTCCTGGAGGGTGGCTTCCCTGGGGTCCATTGGGCTGGCTTAGGTGGCTGGGAGTTAAGCTCTCCCCCCTCCGGAACAGCTGGTCCGCCTTCCTCCCGCGCGGCTCCTGTTTCTGTGGGAGGAAGTGACGCACTGCTGTCACTTCCTCCCAGTGCTGCCGAAAAGCAAGGGCCCGGTCGTGCTGTTAAAGCGCCACAGCGCCCGACCAGGCCCCTGCTGAAATAGGCCCACCGGGTGGCACTAAGTGCATGGGCCACCCGATTGGCTCCCATAGTTTGCAGGCAGAGGGCAAACGGAGCAGCTGTCTTGGGCATCCCGAGCAGGGACAGGGCCCGGGGCAGCTGCCCTGTTTGCCCCGTGTTAAAGACGGCCCTGCTCCTAGAGAGATGTTTTCCAACACAACACACAAATGTCCATGTTAAGGTGAACTCTCAAGCTTGGGAGTAAACTTGATAGTGAATTGGGATGTGTTGGAGAGCTGTTCGCTGAACAGTCTGCAGCCAAAAACACCATCCAGTTCACTAAACAGTTACCCAGACGGTGTATAAACTGATAGCACAGTCTGCAGCCCAAAAACACCATCCAGTTCACTAAACAGTTACCCAGGCGGTATATAAACTGATAGCACAGTTTGCAGCCCAAAAACACCATCCAGTTCACTACAGTAACCCGGTCTGTGTATAAACTGATAGCGGCTGCAGTATGGCTGCTATCAGTTCACACAGCTTAAAATTCTATATTATGATGTGAACAGCTCTTTGGGAATAAACCACTGGATGAAGTATGTTGAGATAAGATTTGTCTCCACAGACAAGAAAAAGCCACTGCTGTAACCATTTTTTAATTTTTGTATTTAAATATATATTGAGAGAGAGAGATATAGATAGATAGATAATGTTTTTATGACTTGGAAAAGTAAGTTTATATAAATCCAACAAACTGTGCTTATTGATAGATATGTATGCAAAGAAGCCTACATTTACAAAAGTCACTATTCGACTGAATAACACAGTTCCATTCACTAGAACCCTGGATACCACAAATCTTTTATTAGATGCGAAGTTGTTTTTGTTTTATTGTATTTTAGTCCTATTTATCATTGCTAACTTCTGAATTCTAAACAGCCCCTGCAATGTCTGCATGTGTACATGTATATATGGTTTTATCTGGTAATTTAGTATATTAAGCAGAAACCTGGTACATGGCAGAGTTAAGAGTTCTGTGATCCTTGTCTGCAGGTAGCACGGTCCTCTAGGGTAAACAATAGGCACAGTCATTTGGTTTGCATATAATCCAGGCAGTTTTATTGTCAAACTCCACCACAGCTACAGCAGCAAATGAAAACAAAAATTTAACAAAATCCTATAAACAAAAACCTAGCTCGGTCTGAGCACTAACTGACATCAAGTTCCCTCTCTCTCAAGGGTTTAATCTAGAACAAAACAAAAAGTGGTTTCACCAACCTAGCGTCTTTTCCAGCTCTCAGCACTCCAGTGTTTTTGACAGCCCGCTGCTTCCCTTTCTACACTCCCAGTGCTCCAAGCCAGCCTTGACTGCTTTCCTTTTGCACTCCCAGTGCTCCAAGCCAGCCTTGACTGCTTTCCTTTTGCACTCCCAGTGCTCCAAGCCAGCCTTGACTGCTTCCCTTTTTCACTCCCAGTGCTCAGTCTCCTTGACTCTCTTACTGGAGAGAAGCCTCACTCATACCTGCTTCCAGGGAGAAAGCCAGCAATCCCTCTTCACCTGGCTAGCAGGGAGGGGTTTATTCCCACTGCTACAGCTGATTATCTGCAGCTGAGCAGTGGGTTGGAGACAGCTCCAAAAAACTCTGGCCTGGACATTATTTCCCCCAGTTGTGTATAAATTAAAGGGGGTGAAGCATTGGCCCACCCTGTTCTCCAAATGCTCAACCCCAGGGGCCCATAACTAAACGGTGGATTGTGTTGCCTACAACACATACTACACATACCCCCCCTGGGGTTAAATGTTATAGGCCTATCTGCCTTCACTTTATCACAGTTCCTAAACCGATATGTTAATTGGGTCCGAGAGAAGTTCCACCATGGGTTACTTACAATTTAACAAAGAGGAGGAAACGCGGAAACAAACAGCAGTTGACCATGTGGCTGTGGATTAGTAAGAGAGAGCAATCATTCAGGACTGATACATTTGGGTTGGAACAGTTCCATTTAAATTTTTTCAGCTAAACACCTTTGAAGTATTTACTGGGTTGAAATATGCGGTTGAAGTATATAAGAACACACCTTCCAGTAGCACATGCACGCTTGTTGTTCGCCTATGATGCCATTTACAAACATTCCACCTGTTTCAGGCTGATCAGCCTACAGTACTGAAAATTGAGTGATCACATGAAGTGCAGTGCAAAGCCTATCATAACCTGTTGATCTAGTGCATGAAGTTTGTATACAATACTTTTGTCTGCACTATATCAGTAATGTTTGTGGGCACCTGACTATGACATCATATCCCATCTCTACAAACATTGCCAAACCGGTGGGCACACAATCATGTACGTAAGAAAGAAACCACTCTGTGTATTTATGAATCCTTCTTGGTACGATGCACATGATGTAAGTGAGAACATGCAAAAACACTTGACGTGTTCCATCAGGTCTTTACTTGATAAGCGATTTATACAATTAATTATAGATAGTACTAATGTGCAGTTCAAATTGTTATGCATACAGTATGGCACATAGTGCAAACAGAAAATAATGAACTTGTCAAGTAATGAGATGGATGACCTACGTTGCCCTTACGTTGTTCTTTGTGGTTGGCGGCACCTGCGCTTCGGTGGAGAAAATATCCAAAGAGTATACACTGTTGGCAGTCAGGACATTTATTATTACTACTCACTTGTATCCTATGTACCTAGTCTCTAGGCGAACACAGCCAGAAGACGGTGCTCTAGGTATGTCACGCTGTGGGCCCCATGGCTGTTGAACTAAAGGTCTCCCATAATTATGGAGGTTGTTTTTGTGATTATAGGCTGTTACTGAGTTGAGCGTGTGTTAGTTTAACAAAAGCTGGGGTGATTACATTTAAATACCCCTGCATCAGCCACATGCAACCAGTAGAGGGGGCTGACTCCCTGCCCTGCTTATCACCCATTGACTATTCAATGTTCTAATTTGGAACACTGACACGGACTCTGCCAACTGTAAATAGGAACTAGACAACATATTAAATATGAATCTTTATTTTTGTTGATAGTGATTGCCATTGCAAAGATTATTGAAATCAAACTCATATATATTATAGTTTATCTCTTGTGTGAGAGAATGAGTAATTATAATCACACTCTATGCGGTGGCTCAAATTATTGGTTCCATTAGTCTGCAATGTGATATAACTAATACTGAGCAGCATTAGAAGTTCGTAAAATAAAAATAATTACTGCAAACACTTTATCTCCCATTAATATTTACACTATGTTTATTTGCTTCTCATTCTCTTCATCCATCACTCAGAGAGTGGAGACCAACGATGCCCTGACCCACAGACAGAGTAATAAAAGACGTAGGTGAAAAAGTGCATGATGCCAGTTAAAGCCACTTAAACACATGCAGTGCCAAGGGGACTTGGGCACACAAAGTGCATGAAGAATGTCAAACTTGTCTGCATGATCAACTGGTCGCTTCGTAAAATAGCTGGATTCCAGTGCTCTCTAGTTAACAGAGCAGGTCCAGAATTTCATTAAAGGCTGGCTGGGCATCATGGGAAATGTAGTTCACAAATATCTGTACCAGAGTTAACCATCTCTATTTCATAGCATACATGACATTCAAGGATGCACTACAGCAATTTTGGAGCAAACAGTAATAATTTGTCCGTTTCTAAAAAAAACAAAAAACATTATTTAACCAGGAGGAAGTGTCAGGAAAGGATAAATTATAGTAAAAGATAAATAAAGTTATACTTTTACATTCTTATGTCCACAACAAAGGAAGGACAAACCTCGTTCCGATACCAGCTAAATCCTGAATGAACTTGATGGAAGCTATAGTCAATGTCAACTTTAACCTATTTTAATAAATATACAGGTTTTCTGGTGATCTGTCCATTAAGAGGACTGTACAACGGACAAGAGGACATACTTTGAGACATGAACCGAAATTGGAAATTGTTTAAAAGTTGTTGTTTTTTTCTTTGCCTTGTCTGCATCAACAGCACGAACATGTACAAAAGGTTGAATTTCATGGACTTGAGCCTTTTTTTTTCAACCAGTTTTAACATGTTACTTTGTTATCTATGTTTAAGAATTAGACAAGCAGTTCAGCACTCATTCCCATGATGTACCAACCATAAATGCTTTGACCTATACGTATTTGCAATCTGAACACGTGACATAATTTTTTTGTTTTGTACATGTACATGCTTATGTGTGCTTGTGTGCAGGATTTGGATATAAAATGAGTAATTGAATCTCTTGCAATGGTTATTTTACTTGAAATATAATCACCAGAATTTGCCGATACCTCATTTAGCATCGTCTGGAATGTGATAACTTTGATACCTTTGGGGGTCTTCTCCACAAATGATTATATGAGGGTGATCAGCTTTGTGAATTGTGTGCAATTTAAATATTGCCATAAAAACCTTTCTGCTGAAATTGTGTTTTGAGATTGTAACGTGCCTGTTTTACGTATAAATACACTCAGGATATAGGGAAAAATCGATTTTTTTCTTTGTAACTGCAGTAATGTGTTTCCATATGAGGACATTAGATATAAAACTGAACTGTTTCACCAAAGCCAACAGCTATTTTAGCATATTCTATGCAATTTTGCCCTTTTGTGCAACATTTTTATATTAATTTTGTGGAAAATTAAGTACGAAATCTATACTGTAATTCTATAAATGACACCTGTATGGTCGTACCTGTGCTAACTCATTTTATGCCATTTTACTTGAGAAGAATGTCAGGTTTTTTAAAAAGCAAGTTGTTCTGTTTATTATGTTTGGTTGTTTTGTTGATGTGCACTCGGATTTCATGCATTTACCATTTCATGCAAGATTTGGGAACTTGTGGAATTTTTAATTGTGCTGAAAATGTTCGATATTTTTATGTTAGGGGAACAGTATTCAAAGGAATTTAATGTAAAACAGTGTAACACTGAAACATGGTCTGGCCTTCGCTGTGTTCCTAACTCAGAACTCTTTGAACAGTAAAATAAGTGAAAAGGCTAACTAAAATTAATAAGCCTTTGTTTTAAAATTTTGCAGTTTTAGACAAATTAGTGTTGAGAACTCATATAAACCACAGGAGAGGTGTTAAATCACCCTGAATACAGTAAATTCAGTGATTAACAACAGTGCAGAACATTCCGTGCCAGCAATCCTTTTATTATAGCACTTACAGCAACGGGGACAATATTTCAACTTCCACTGTGGTTTTTATCAAGTCACTCCCACAGCTCGAACACAAGATATATACATATATATATATATATATATATATATAGATAGATAGATATATGTATAGTGCATACCGTTACATAAGTGAATTTAGGAGGTTTGGTTAAACAATCATCTGACTTAATGCCTGTCACTTGAACAGTTATGAATATAAACATACACGGCCAATCTGTCAAAACAATGAGTCAGGATGATTTACCTGTATATTTGTGTACTGAATTTTTTTTTTATAATGTAAATATATAAGTGAGAAAGATATTTAATAGTGTATAATATATTAAGTTGAAGAATAGTGGCAAAATATGCAAAAAAATTACAGAGATAGACCCCCCCCCCCAGTTAATTTTTTCATTAGGTGCCCCCCTTTATTGGATTAACGACTGGGCAACAATAACTGCCGGATCAATTTCTTTATTTTATATCAGCAAACAGCCAATGGCTGGTCAATGTTTAGAAACATGACCCTATTGTTTCTTTACTTGAATAATGGCTGAATTTCATCCAAAAACAAATGCACAAATGGACGAAATTTGCTTCAGCCAAAATAAAAGAATGTTTTTGTTTGAATGTATTTGGACAAAATTAAAATGTTGGCGGCACCAAAGTCTAGTCTTTAAAATGATAACGAGGCTTTTTTCTTTTAAAAAATCATGACATGGTTAGTTGTTCTCCTCTCAGTCTCATCTACTCCAGCCATTTGTAAGGTTTGGTGGAAACTGCAAAACCTGTCTTGATAGCTGCAACATATTCTTTTGTAACACACACTTATGATTATTTTTTTATTTTTTTTATTGCAATAAAAATGGGGTTGGGTTAGAGTGCAGGTTCTCTTGCCCCTGTAGACCGGTTTCCCCTGGTAATAGCCATTTTACCATTTAAATAGTACTAGAGAATTAAAATAACTTGTACCATAGTACCTCATTTTGTTCCAGTAGGAAAAAAGAGACAATCCAGGAAATATACAAGTGTGCAAAGACAAGAAAGTCCTATTGTTCATCTTTCACATTTTGCCCTATAAAATCATAGTGGGTAAAAAAAAAAAAAATCTGGAAAGAATTGTTTAATTTCACAGACACCAACCTGAGTGGATTTGTTGTACGCTTTGTTGTTATTTGGTTCAAGGGTATTTTTTTTTTTGCTTTAATAAGAATTAATTTGGATCTTGTTTAATGTGAGATTTTTGTAAAGAGGATTTTCGACCGCAAACATCAAAGGTCTAGTTTAGTAAATTATTGTCTGTTATGATGAACACATGTTAATATGATGGCAGAGATCAATGAGAGATGAGGTTTGACCTTGGTAGAATAGCCTGGTGCTTCTCATTCATTACGTTTGGTGGTTCTACTCATGGTGAACCAGATGTTGACCATCATACATGTCCACGGTCCTGTCACATTCCATAGTTTGTCCTTTTTGTCAGTGCCCCAAAATATGATAAAGACCTTGACACACAGCTCTTTTCCATCTCCTACCCTTCTGCCCTCCTCCCTCCCTTGGTTGATATCTTTAGACACAGGAGAGGTGGAACAGAAAATCACTCAACCTCCATCGAAAGCTATGTCGGTGAAGAGGCAAGAGGAGACAAGGACCAGAGTGAGCTCAAAAAAGCCACAATAATGTGTTTTAACCATGAGACTGCTGGTTAATGTGAGTATCCTCCTACCTATTAATATTATCAGACAGATAAGATAGCCTGGGATGCCAATCTGCAGATGGTCCAGAAGTCCATCTACCATAAATCAGCTATTCACAGACTTTGTAAAACATGGACCTTCTAGTAGGTGCTGCTGGAGAATGGCTCATATAATATGTCTGTATATTTATAAGTGTTTTTTTTTTATGTGGTTCTGTTATTACTATGATTACTCTTTTTATTTGTATCCATTAATATAAAATAATATATGAGTGTAATATTTCAATATGAAAACAAACAAGTATTTTAAGTGGCAGCCATACTGAAACATGACTAGAATTGTTCTGTAAGCTTATTTCAAACTTACCATATCAAACTTTCTTTAAATTCATTAGCATAAACGTTGAGTTTTATTTTAATCCTGTCCAGCGTTTAAAAACAAACAAACCTTGGAACGTGGAATGAAAAAGACAGCAGCAATTTTGGATGACTATTGCGAGATAATAAAAAAAAGAAAATGATGCAAATTGACAAAAAAAAAATACCTTTCCATTTCTATGTCCCTCCTTTTCAGAAAAAGTAGGGAATCAACATTTTCAAAATCATACAGCCTTTCTTGTCTTTTAGGCTGGTTCTGGAATATTAGTGTTGAAGTACAAAGATCGTTTAATCACATACAGTAGGTGTGAAGAAAATATTAAACAAATTATGGTAAAATACCTGGGTTTTAGGTATTTGAAATCTGGTGGCATTTTTGGAATGCAGATTGATCTGTATTGACGTATGTATGTGGGTGGGATATGCACCTACAGGGAGTGCAGAATTATTAGGCAAATGAGTATTTTGACCACATCATCCTCTTTATGCATGTTGTCTTACTCCAAGCTGTATAGGCTCGAAAGCCTACTACCAATTAAGCATATTAGGTGATGTACATCTCTGTAATGAGAAGGGGTGTGGTCTAATGACATCAACACCCTATATCAGGTGTGCATAATTATTAGGCAACTTCCTTTCCTTTGGCAAAATGGGTCAAAGAAGGACTTGACAGGCTCAGAAAAGTCAAAAATAGTGAGATATCTTGCAGAGGGATGCAGCACTCTTAAAATTGCAAAGCTTCTGAAGCGTGATCATCGAACAATCAAGCGTTTCATTCAAAATAGTCAACAGGGTCGCAAGAAGCGTGTGGAAAAACCAAGGCGCAAAATAACTGCCCATGAACTGAGAAAAGTCAAGCGTGCAGCTGCCACGATGCCACTTGCCACCAGTTTGGCCATATTTCAGAGCTGCAACATCACTGGAGTGCCCAAAAGCACAAGGTGTGCAATACTCAGAGACATGGCCAAGGTAAGAAAGGCTGAAAGACGACCACCACTGAACAAGACACACAAGCTGAAACGTCAAGACTGGGCCAAGAAATATCTCAAGACTGATTTTTCTAAGGTTTTATGGACTGATGAAATGAGAGTGAGTCTTGATGGGCCAGATGGATGGGCCCGTGGCTGGATTGGTAAAGGGCAGAGAGCTCCAGTCCCACTCAGACGCCAGCAAGGTGGAGGTGGAGTACTGGTTTGGGCTGGTATCATCAAAGATGAGCTTGTGGGGCCTTTTCAGGTTGAGGATGGAGTCAAGCTCAACTCCCAGTCCTACTGCCAGGTCCTGGAAGACACCTTCTTCAAGCAGTGGTACAGGAAGAAGTCTGCATCCTTCAAGAAAAACATGATTTTCATGCAGGACAATGCTCCATCACACGCGTCCAAGTACTCCACAGCGTGGCTGGCAAGAAAGGGTATAAAAAAGAAAATCTAATGACATGGCCTCCTTGTTCACCTGATCTCAACCCCATTGAGAACCTGTGGTCCATCATCAAATGTGAGATTTACAAGGAGGGAAAACAGTACACCTCTCTGAACAGTGTCTGGGAGGCTGTGGTTGCTGCTGCACGCAATGTTGATGGTGAACAGATCAAAACACTGACAGAATCCATGGATGGCAGGCTTTTGAGTGTCCTTGCAAAGAAAGGTGGCTATATTGGTCACTGATTTGTTTTTGTTTTGTTTTTGAATGTCAGAAATGTATATTTGTGGATGTTGAGATGTTATATTGGTTTCACTGGTAATAATAAATAATTGAAATGGGTATATATTTGTTTTTTGTTAAGTTGCCTAATAATTATGCACAGTAATAGTCACCTGCACACACAGATATCCCCTAACATAGCTAAAACTAAAAACAAACTAAAAACTACTTCCAAAAATATTCAGCTTTGATATTAATGAGATTTTTGGGTTCATTGAGAACATGGTTGTTGTTCAATAATAAAATTAATCCTCAAAAATACAACTTGCCTAATAATTCTGCACTCCCTGTATAGTAAGTACAGTTGTCTGGTTAAAACCTGGTGTCTCAACATCATTCATCATCATTATGCTGCACCGGGTAAACGCCGAGAATTAAGCCTATGCTCAGAGTGATTGAACAGTGCTCGGATGTTGGACTGCACTGAGTGGAGCCAGACAGAATTCCAAGGGTCTCCAGTGGGAATAGATGAAAAGATGTTTAATGTTTAATGTTTGATGGCGAAACCCATCGAGCTGTGTTACATTGTATGGTTCTGGTAGTGAGGAAGGTGGTAAGAGATGTAATATGTACATGGGGCAGTGACTATGTTGTTGATATATTACACATAGAAGCATTCATTAACATACTGGACAGGGCAAGCTAAGAGCTTGTTCAGGCAAATGGGGGCTTTGCGGGTCTCAGTAATCTCACATGAATAATACTGATGGCTACACTACAAGTAATGTTGTATTGTCCTTTTTCATTGATTGCCAGTTGCTCATATTCCTCCTGATATAAAGGGGGGTTACACATTCAGATTACAATGTGAGGCTGTAAAGATTTAGGGCTTTGAGCAGAGGTCTTGCTTACTCTTGCATAACTAGTGGTCTAGTCATTTCAATACCATATAAATATATAAATATATACACTATATTAGGTTGAGCACCCAGTGGAAAATATCATTCAGCCTTTACTTAAAAAAAGACTTACTTATTTAAAAATTGAGTTACAAAATATTTTATTTGCAACTGTGACCAGGTGTACACAAAAATAATTCTAATAATTTTCCCCAAAACATAATTTAACTCCAACATACAAAAGTGACCAACTCCCTGCAAATTGGCACGAACGTGTACAACCTGTGCACACACCTGTGTGTGTATATAAATACGATACATATTTGCTAAACAGTATCTGTAGGGCCGACGCTCTTCTTAGAGCGCTTATAGAAGAGAGTCTCCACATAAGAGTGAGATTAGCTAACTTTTAAAGACGTACCTGCGAAATATCTTATTATGATACATTATTACTATTATTACTAGTTACATCCCCATCAAATAATAGTTCCATTCACATACCTTCAATCTGCCTTTGCTACAATTTATCCGTATGAAGATTCTCTCCATATTTATCTTGCTTGATGACAATAAAATGAACACTCTTTACACACAGAACAAATGAAAAGAAAAGGTCTAGAATGCCTGCATGTGTTGTGGCTATTATTTGTTGCCTGTTTTACTCCTAAACCTGGCTGTCAGCCACATGGCTACAATGTTTAGACCAGGAGTGCCCGAAAGGTAGATACCCAGATATTTTAAAACTACAGCTTCCATGATGCTTTGTCATTCTAAAGGCATGCAAAGAATCATGGGAGTTATAGTTCTACAACATCTTGGAATCTACCTTTTGGGCACCCTTGGTTTAGATGTTCTTGTACTTCGGTAGCCATGATATGTAGCTATATTATACACCAACTGGCATTTCTGCTGTATCTGGCCGTCTTTTTATAATATTCAAGGAGTTGGGGCTGTTTCCTGCTACTTTGCCAGCCTGTGCTTTTGTTGCTGGAGTACACAGCGGTGCCATTTATTCAGTCGTTTATTCACTCACTCAGACAATGAAGCAGTTGGACGATGCAAGGATAGAGAAATTTGTGCAAATGGAACCATAAAATTTCATGCTTATAGTTGAGTGTTCCACTGCGCTGGATGGTCACGAACCAGGGAGTGTGTGATATGTCAGAACTGGCAAGTGGCAGCCATATTATTTTATATAGACTGTGTGTATTGTAAAATGACCCTGAAGATGTCTCATACTTTAGGGCCGAGGTGTTCAGCTTTGGCCTTTGCCCCATTCATCTTTGCAACCATTGTAAAATGAATAGTAGTTTATTACTTGTTACATACTGTCATTTATTTCATTAGCAGCGTCATATGTAAATTCACAGCTTATATTATAAAATGTCCAATTATTACCTTGTTTGATATTTGAGATTGTATTGATAATATTTATATACTGGCCTTCACATATCTGAGATAAATAGAGGCTTTCTTAAATATACATCTATATTTGTCCTGTCCCTATGCTTAAAGGAGCAACAGATTTTAAACAGTTTTTTAAAGTGACACTCCTAGGTCTGTCTACCAATAACACTTGCCTCTCATACCCACTGAGTTGGTATGTCAGTATTGATATAGTGGGACTAATAAGCGTTGCTCTTTGGTATTGAGCACTCGCAAGTCCAAAGATGGCCCCTATCTCTGTGATGATGGGTTCTGCACACACAGGGCTGCATACAGTGCTCACAGAGACAGGTCACACTCTGGTCACACTCTAACTCAACAGGATCAGTACCTGCAAGCCCTTCTCACATCAGCAGTGACATGCAAATAGAGTGTTAGCAGATGTGTTTATCCAATACATGCCATCCGAATATGGAAAGAATTGATTTTGAAAATGTATTAGGGTAACTTCCGCAGTTACACTGTAGAGTGATTGCGCGGGTTGTGAGCGCTCTCGAAAAGAGTTTGACACAAAATTGGGGCATGCTGGCACCATAACCACTACAGCAGGCTGTAATGCTTATGGGGCTTCAAGCGACCCTTTAACTGTTTAACATTTTATGCAAAAAATCAAGTATTACAATATTGAATATATTATTAAACTGTACTATGAAATGTCACACACCGTGCTCGCTTATTTTTTTTTTTTTTTTGCTAGTGCATTTAGTATCTTAAGTATGTTATATTAAGGTAAATATTAATTGTAGCTGTTTTCTTCCTCTCTCGCTCTTTTTTCTCCCTTAAACGCTGTGTTAATAGAAGAAAGTCACGTAGTGTGAGATGTATTAGGGAAACTAAACATTGCTCTGAGTTATGTCGTTTAGTTCTAACATTTAAAGGTGTTTATTGCACATAATATGCAGTTTTTTTGTTTGGCATGTTTCGTACAGTAAGACAAGGGTCATACTGAGTGTATATCAAGCTATGTCACTGAAAAGCATGTAACAGTCTGTACAGCCAAATTCTGCAGGCAATCCTGGCAGGAAATCCGTTACTACTAAAAGACGTAGGGTGCCGTGCTGGTTATTAGGTCTTGTTATATAATGATTCCCTTGCTAATTCTGTTTTTTTGTTTTGTTTTTCTCTCCATCTCACTAGCCACCACCCAGGGTCCGTAAACATCGATTCAGGAAGAAAAGTACATCTGCCTCATACACGGAAACTGTGTGAGCCCCACCTTCATCATCAAGATCACCAGAATGTCCCTTAACTGCCTTAAAAGAAGCCACAGGGTGGTGTCACCTCCCCAACCCCAGCTATCCCACAATATAAATATCAATTAGAACATAGAACCTCTTTAAAAAGGCTAAGCTTGAACTTTGTAGCTTTATTTAAATTGTCTACTGGCCTACAGCAACACATCAGTCTCGCTAGAATTGACGTGTCTGATTTGGAACACCTTGTAAATGGAAACATTATCCTCTCTACTGATATTCTCCTAGCCTTTGGTAATCAATATGGAAACTTAATGTACAGTTTATTGGTCACCCTTGCCCCATTCAGTTAATCAATGACCGGATTAATGAGTCCATAAATGTATTTAATTTTTTTTCTTCAGTTTTTGTGTTTTTGTTTTTTTAATTTAAAAATTGAGAGGCAAGGGACACCTGTAGCATATGTACTAAACTGTAAACTGTCCAGTGACCAATGATCACAATGGATTGTCCCTCACACCTGAACTTGGTGATTCCCCCATTTGGGGCCTGTGCTCTCTAATGGAATTATTTATGAAATAGCCATGTACTTTCAAAAAAAAAAAACACTTTTTTTTGTAATTCTGTCTGTACTTGCTGGATATTTTATTTTGATGTGTCAGTATGTGTTGTGTCCATATGTGTTTATATATAGCGCCGGTTAGGCCGTATTTTCATTAGATATAACATCAGGAATCCATGTTCGGTAAGTCACTGAGAATTAACACAACAGAAAGGAAAAGTTTCATTGGATAAAAGAAGGAAGGGAAAAGCATTTGTTTCTGTTGATTTTTTTTGTAATATTCCTTATGATCAGGTACTTTGGATGTATGGCGAGTGCTTGTTCTGTTGGCACATGGTCCATAATTAAATGCCAGAGAATTACCAAACTGTGACTCAAGTTATACTAAGTTTTGTTATATAATAGCACATCATCTGTGTGAAGACACCAGGCATTATTAAGAAGGTAAACGTGGGAGAGAATCTGTGTAGGTGTGCTCAAAGGAAAGATAGAGATTGGGACAATTTATAGGTTCTCCATACAGGTGGACTCCCTGAAAACTTGTACTTCCTTTGGCCCAGCTATGGCTAAGCAGGCTGGGAAACGTAGTCTTCAACAGCAAATTTTACCTTTGTTTCTTGCAATCTCCTCTGGTATGAACCAGGTTAAGTATTAGAAACCATGCATAGCTCTGTCTTAGTCTATTCTTGTTGGGGATTCCTTGATGTTTTTTGTCTGTTCACATTCACAATGTTGATAAATCACAATCACTAATGGACAGTTTTGGGGTATAAAGGGTATGAACTACAAGACATCTGTATTTCTAAGGGCATTATAGCCTACACAGAGCTGTGTTCCCACAGCCCTCCATAAATACAACATGGTAGCTACTCAAGAGCACTATGCACATTGAACCGTGTAGACTCCTGGCCAAGGTGCAGGTGACATCATATCTGACTGCGTTGAAAGAACTAGCATGGAGACAGAGGGAACTTAAATTACGTTTCTGTTTTTTTAATCTTTATTTAGGTACAGGCAGAAATACCCAAAAATATCACATGTATACACATACAGCTTAAAATATTCTGTATCTCCATTCTGTCAGTTGTAACAATTCTAAAACCATCCCAACAACCCAGTAGGAAATAAGTGATAGAAAGAGAGAAAAAAAGACAGACGCTTAAAGAAAGAAGCAGAAAAAAAAGAAGAAATTAGAGGAAATTGTCAATGACCGTGAGGGTTTTTTTTTTTAATTTGTATTTATTTTGCAATACAAAACAAACGTAACCCTGTGTATACATGAAGTTGGTAGTAAAGAGAAATTAAATATGACATAGATTTTCACAATAATGAGCTATGTGTTGTTCTCTCTCTAAAAGCAGAACAAACCAATTTATTGTTATGAGTGGGGAATGTAAATGTGAGACAAAAGAAAAAGTGTTTACGGCTTTACAGGAAAAGCGGTGTTTGAAAGCAACTACTGCTACCAACCTCTATAGACTACAAAGGCTGGCTTGTCAGCGACTTAGCCATATCACTCACATAGGAATCTACAACACACTTTGCCATGGAGTAATAGCACTATATGCCCACCGTGACATTTTCACGATGACACGCTAGTCGTGCTGTATAGTGATAGTGTAATTCAGTGTTATGGGGATTTGACGTATTAGTCATATGATGCAGGTGCTTCCCAACCACCATATATGTGTCTATCTTCCTTGTTTGCCTCCCTATATAATTTATATCCTGTAATTATAGCTAAGATGGACTTTTTTTTTATTGTAAAAGGTTCTTTTTCCATGTTTTGCATCGATGTATCCAGTATGTATATTTTGGATAAAGTAGTTCTGCTAGATTGCAACATAAAGTGTATCATTAAAGGAACACTATAATGTCAAGAATATAAATAGATATTCCTGACACTATAGTGCTCGAATACATGTTTCGCTCCCCGGCCTTCCTCTTTGTGGAGATTAAAAGTTTTTAAACGTGCCTCTTCTCCAACGCCGCACTGGTGTTGCTGTGGCTGGCCCCACCTCCATGACTGAGATCATCAATCTTGATGATCTCAGCGAATCCAATGCTTTCCCATAGGAAAGAATTGAGAGGCTATTGTGCATGTGCAGAAAAACACCACATTGCACCAAATCCCTCCTCTTATAATATTGTAAAGCGCTACGGTATCTGTTGGCGCTATATAAATGGCAATAATAGTAATAATAATTAGCATCTCCTCTATGGAGAACGTTCAGCGCCACCATGCAGAAGATGGAGACGTTGAATGTCACTAGAATAGGAAGCCCCTCTAGTGGCGATCTGAGTGACTGTCACTAGAGGTATTACTAGGCAGCAATGTAAACACTGCCTTTTCCTGGAAAAGGCAGTGTTTACAGTGCTAAGACAGAAGGGACATGCCAGAGACACCAGAACCACTACATTAAGCTGTAGTGGTGCTGGTGCTTATGGTGTGCCATAAAATTTTATTCACTTAACGGGGAGCTTTGGAGTGTTATTACTTGCCTAGACACTAAGATATCAACATTACAACATAAGACATGAAGGGTAGACTGCCAATTACATCAGGTGCTACACACTAACCTTGTCCTTTATTTAGAATTTGTTTGTAGCTGGTGTACTCTGCTACTGATCTATACATAATTTAGAACAGTGTTATTAAGAGAATTAAAAAGTAGCTCCAGTAGGGTGTACAGATTGTCTATTATTCTGCTCAGATTATTACCCTGCATTGGAAGGTGCAAGACTCTGTGGCCCAGCAATTCCAAATATATATATATAGTATTAACTATATAGATGGCTGGGTTTAACACTGTGTCTATAGTAATGGGAGCAGGTAGAATAGTTGGTTTGACATAAACCAAGGTCTGCAATAAAAGATACAGTTATGGCTGATAATGCTAATGAAGGTTTGGGATACCAGAAGTCAGGAATACATATAACAAAGTTAACAGAAATCACTAAGTACAATAACGCATTTGTGGACTGCAAAAACTACAACAGGTCCTCAGGTGTTTTTGTATTAGTCCCCAGGTTTACATATTACTAGTATCACTAGCAGGGTTACTTACTAAAGTGGGGATTTAAAACGAATTTCAAATGTAAGGCCTGACTAGCTAAGTGAAAGCAAACCTGATTTATAGAATTTCTCCGTGTAGACTATTTTGAATTCACCTTGAATTCTGACTTTGGTGATAACCCTGCAAGAAATACAGAATATGTTCAATTCTCAGTACAATTCATTCTACAGATTACAAAGCTTTAAGCAAAAAAAATAAATAAAATAGATAAAGGAAATCTGTGAGCCGTTTTTTTGCATTGTTATTGCAAAAAAATCTTTCTATGGGATTCAATGAGAGTAAGTTCCCAAATAGTTACAAATTACTATAATAGTGTGTCCACATCTTAACATTCCAAAATAAATGGCACTGCCCATGGGGAGGTTTAGGAGCCTGTGTCTTTCACTACGAAATAGCTTGGGTGGGAAATGTTACCTGGTGTACTCTATATAAGAAGTCAAACCACACTGCAGTGGTTATGGTGCTTGGAGTATTCTTTTAAAAACTATTTTCCATTCATGAAAACTGCAATTTCTTGCAGTGATTAGCCCCCGACATATCTATTAATGCTATGCAGGTTAGAGGAAGTGCATCAATTCAACTTGATGATGGAGTATTCCCAAGGTACCCCCAGGAAGTTCAGATTAGGTAGAAATAATTTATTCACGATTTATCTAAAAAAAGCTGCTGAACTGATTAAAACCACGTATGCCTCATGCTGATATTTTTAGAAGTGTTATATAATGGCGTAACGAAATGTATGATTAGAATACCACTTTCATGACGTAAGTATACAGTTAATTCCAGTTAAAAATGTTTTTTAATATTTTCCAGTTCTTACATTTTTCAAGCTGAAAATAAGTAAACACCTCCTCGTGCTTGCAAAAAAATAAAGTGTTTGAGTAGTTTATCTGCTTGTTAAGTTTACACACGCCTTCAAGCCACATGGAGGGAAGGTAAAACAAAATGTCTTCAGAAATAGGGTAAGACACACAGATTAGCTTGTAAAGGGACAAATAGCTGTCAAAAGTTGGTTATACAACAGGACTAAGTTTAATTACTTTGCTGCAGCAGACATACTGCATGTTTTGTGATTATATTGGTAAAACAGGATTTTTTTTATATATATATATATTTGATGAATGTGCTCATATGTGTTTTAATCATTTAACACTCTATATCATAATATTAGTGCCTGCTTTTTTTTATTGTGCTACTAATGCCACTGTGATGTAGCCTTGGTGCTGTTACACACTCTCAAGAATAGTTTAGAACTTGTTTAATGCCATCTCTGCACTACAATCACTGTCGTTTATGTGTTTATTTGCATACTTCATGTATTAATAGGAATTGTTAGAGAGCTCTCCCACAAAGCATATAAAATGACAAATTGAGAGACATGAAAGGCTCGTTTACTGTGCACCGGTGTGATTCCATAACAATAAGATTAATATACTTTTATCTAAGACCATTTCCTCCTCCAGGACCGCCTATCGTACAGATCCAGTCTCTTAAGATTTACATAAAATTATATCATATTTTAATTTGTGCAATGTATCTGGCAGGCCAGAGGATTTATTATATTTTATATTTTGGTTGCGTGTATGGTTACTGTATGTGCTGCATGTTTTCTGTTTTGTAAGTTTCTTTTGAAGCTGTATGTAATTTAAATTAAATAAAAAGCCAGAGTTCATATCACTTTTCTTATTATTTATATATGTTAAGGCCGTAGGCCTGTAGTTGTGGGAGGGGTTGAACCGGCCTTAGAACTGCCCAGTGGTTCGGACCTCGGGTGTCCTGGACAAAGTCTGCAGCACTTCTGCATCATGACATACTGTGCGATGTGGTGAGTGGAGAAGAGTTGCACTGCTATGAGTCCTTCCCAAGAGGGCTTTCTCATGTCACGAGAGTGCCTATACTGTTCGTATCCGGGCAATCTACAGCTGGTTATTAGGGGCTGCCCTTCTCCTGGGGCCAGTCACAGTGAACTGCGGGCGTCCTGGAAAAACCCACCCTACTCACCCTTTAACACTATAATCTTACTCCCTTATTAGGCCCTTGTTATTTACAAGCCTAACCTGACCGTCAATTCGGGCACACTTCAACCGACTTTGCCTTCTGTAGTTGGTACAAACACGGCTTTGGTTCCTAAACACAAATATACATTTCTTATTTTCTTTTCTTCATGAATACATTTTTTTAAAGTCTTTTTTGCAAAAGAACAACAAGCAGATTATTTTCAAAGAGAGGAGAAACAATGTACAATAAGTATCTAGTATACACATTTACATGTATTCGGTTAGCAAATTTTGATAACAAGTATTTCAACGTACAATGTTCCTTATAGTGGGCTACCCTTAAAAGTGAAACACAAACCAAATACAAAGTAGAAGAGAAAGAGACAAAAAAAGGGGGGCTGAAACAAAGACACCCAAAAAGTAAAGGGGGAGTGGAATTGAGTGGGAAGGTTGGGGAGTACCAAGAACATCAGGGAACAAGAGACCGTATGATCTACCGGATTGTCAACCTTATTTCCATCCGTCCTACTCCTTGGCCTGTCCACTTCCAACTCCACCAAAATTCCGACTTTACCACGCCCTGTTCCGCCACAGCACATGACTTGAACCCTTAAGACCATGTGCGACCCCCATCCCACTGAAACAGGGTCTGGCTAATGCCCTCCTGAAAACCCAGGTTAAGTAGATCGCTCCCTACGTCCGACAAGTGTACATCATCTCTTCTAAAATACCCGGGCAACATGCCCTCCAGCTCCCGGTGCCTTACCACGACACCGCCTAACCATCTGATAAAAACCGCCATGGTCCTATTGACCTTACCCCTGCATCGGGCCACTGCAGCTGGATTTCTAGCGTGTCTCCACGTAAACGAGGCACTATTTCAGACCAGACCACCACCACGCCAGGAACCAGCTCCAGCAGCCGATCCAAGTCCCTCTTCATTCTCCATACCAGTTCTCATTGGGTCGTTCCCCCCGCCGTGAACCACTAAGACATCCGGGACTGTCCAACCTGCAACTTTCCTAAACAACACACTACTTAAACTCTGCCAACTAAACCCCCGGAAACCAAACCATGACAGCGCCACCTGCTCCAGAGGAAAGCCCAGCTGTGTTCCAGTTCTTCTAACTGCGGCCCTCTTCTGTGCCCAGTAAACAAACGAATGGCCGATTAGCCACACCTTCCAACCGGCAAGGAAACAAATTTTAGTGACTTGGTAGAGGCCCTTCTTACTTCACCACAGTCACACTTCCCCCCCCCAATTCACACCAACTTGTCAGGCCTCACGTATGAGCGGAAACGTAAGGATTCCCATCTCCCTATACGCTTGATCCGCTCGTCCCCTAGACCCAGACGCGCCGCTTCTGTTGCTGCCCCAATCCTAAACAAGTGCGTCCCAAACTGCCTGGGCTCCAGGACCAGTTTCTGTAAGCCCAAGTGTAAAAACCTTAATGAACTGAAAGCGCGACAGCGCCGTGCCGTCCGCGTGCATGAAAAAACATCCCGTAACCGTTGAGCGTAGTGCCAAGTATCCCGCGCCCTGCTCCACCGGGCACACCTCGGATCCCGGCAGCTCAAACAACATCACCGTGCAACCCTTACCAAAAATGTCCGTCTTCGAGCAGCCCAGCCTGATCCGCACTCTGTCGGTACCTACCTCAACGTCTTCGAGCTGTAAACCGCCCGCCCCGGCTTTGTTCGCACTGACCAACTTCCTGATCCGGAATGCCCCAAAAAAGGCCCATACAAAAGTCCCCGCAAACAACGCCACCTCGAACAATGAATGACAAATTTCTGGCAACTAACCTTTGCAATATCACAAACGACACCGGTCTCCTTGTATCCACCGACTTCTTCCCCCTACGGAAACCCCGTACCGTCTGCCGTACCAGGAAATGTTTCGTGATGTCTTCCCAGCAGCTCAAACACCACCACCGTGCAACCCTTACCAAAAATGTCCATCTTCAAGCGTCCCAGCCTGATCCGCACTCTGTCGGTACCTACCTCAACGTCTTCGAGCTGTAAACCGCCTGCCCCGGCTTTGTTCGCACTGATCAACTTCCCGATCCGGAAAGCCCCAAAAAAGGCCCATACAAAAGCCCCCGCAAACAACGCCACCTCGAACGATGAATGACAAATTTCTGGCAACTAACCTTTGCAATATCACAAACGACACCGGTCTCCTTGTATCCACGACTTCTTCCCCCTACGGAAACCCCGTACTGCCTGCCGTACCAAGAATGTTTAGTGATGTCTTCCCACCCGTTGAACTTAAATAAGAAGGCCAAGGCGGACATATGTCTGTCTACCATGGCTGGCGATGCCTGCTTCGCGAACAAACGGCAAATTATCCACAACAGTACGTCCACCCGTTGACCGGCTGAGAGATCCCCCCCTACCTGAACCACTGTTTCGTCCAAATCTTTCCAGACCTTCACATACGAGGACGAAGTGCTCGGCACCAATGAGTTCCTTATACACTCCCCAAGCAAGATGTCCCGAGTTGCCACATCTCGACCGGGCATGCTTGCCCCTTTTCCTGCGCGTCCGGTGCCGCATCCCGAAAACGTTCCCACTGCAAACGAGACAGCACATCAGCCACTACATTTTTAAACCCGGGGATGTGCTTAGTCCTGAACACTATGTTTAAAGACATACAGAGAAGTACTAGCTGCCGCAATATGCGCACCACCTGTGGTGAGGATGCAGACAGGCTGTTGATGGCCTGCACCACTGCCATGTTGTCGGAGTAAAATACGACTTTCTTATTCGCTAGCTCCGGACCTCATAAAGCCACTGCTACCACGAAGGGGAAGAATTCCAAAAACGCTGCCCGATGCGTCCGTAAACAGCCCCAGCACATCCGATGACACGGCTGGTTCCCAAAAAAACACCCTCCCGTTAAAGTAGTGTAAGAACCGGTCCCAAACCCCCAAATCTTCTTTCATATCCACCGACACTCGAATATAATAGGATGGCATCCGCACCCCGCTCGTCGCTTGAGCCAACCGCCTGCAAAAAACCCTCCCCATGGGGATAGCCCTACATGCCCTACATGCAAAGTTAAGGATCCCTACCAGAGACTGTAACCCCCGCAAGGTTACCTTTCTCGCACCCTTAACCATGTCCCCCAATTGCCGCAGACTCTGCAGTTTGTCCCTGGGCAATCTGCATTCCCCTTTTTCCGCGTCAACTTCCAATCCTAAAAAGCTAAGGCAAGTGGTAGGGACCACCGTCTTGTCCTCCGCTAAGGCACCCCGAACGAATGTGCTACCCACTGGAATACCCTCAAGATCTGCCAGCACCGATCCGAGTCCCGCGGGCCGACGCATAGGAAATCGTCCAAGTAGTGCACTACCGCACCCCCGCCCGACTCCCGACATACCACCCATTCCAGAAACTTACTAAACTTGTCGAAGTAGGCACAAGATATGGAACAGCCCATAGGCAGACATAAGTCCACGAAAAATCCCCCCTCGAAGTAACATCCCAGTAGGTGATGACAATCCAGATGTATGGGAAGCAGCCGGAAGGCTGCTTCCACGTCAACCTTCGCCATCAGCGCCCTGAACCCTGCTCTCCGAACCAGCTCGACTGCTTTGTCGAATGATGTATCAGAGACAGAGCACAGATCCGCATCGATGTCATCATTCACTGAGGCCCCTTTCGGGTGCGACAAGTGATGAATCAAACAGAACTTGCCCACCTCTTTCTTTGGGACCACCCCCCAGAGGGGACACCCTCAAATCCACCAATGGCGGGACCGAAAATGGCCCCGCCATCCTTCCCAATTGGACTTCCTTACTTAACTTCTCCTGAACCACCCCCGGGTGCTCCCTTAACGATTTAAGATTAGCACTTAATTTTCCCGGGCCTTGCGCTTTGAAGGGGATTTTAAAGCCCTCCACGAATCCCTGCCACAAGAACCTAGCCTCGTCTTGATCAGCGTATTGCCTTAGCCAAGGCAACATCACGCCGACTTTCACCGGTGACGCCCCCAGTTGCAGCCATGGGGGCGGTTGCCCCTGTTGTTCCCCCCCCTGCGGTGGGCTTACCTTTTTTGAAGCATCTGTTGGCCCCGTGGTTCCTGCCGCATCCTGAACTCTCGTGTCGAAATCTACACGAAGCTCCCCACTTGCATTGCCCCTCGTTGTACGACCAGCAGAACCCTTTCTTCTGTCCCGCCGACACTGCGCTTTCCGTGGCCTTGCCGGCTGTCCCTGGAAAGGGCGCGCTTTTTTGCGCCATCATAAGGTCCATTTGGTCCCAGCGCATGGTCGGGTTCGCTGCCAGCCGTTGACGAAACTGCTCGTCATACTTCCACCACGCTAGTCCCCCGTATGTCCGGTACGCATCCCCCATGCCGTCAAGGTAACAGAAAAGTTGCGAGCAGCAATCCATGCGCTTCTCCCCGATTACGCTCACGAGAATACAAAAGGCCCTAAGCCAATTCCCGGAGGTCTTTGGTATCTTGCAATACCTCCGCCTTTTCTCCTCCTCTTCTTTTTTAGCATCTTTCTTGTCTTCTTCCTTCAAATCCAAAAATTCCTCGAGGGGAAGAAGGGAAAATATTTCCAAGAATTCCCCTTTCCAAATTCTTTCTTTCATTTCCACCTTCAAGTGACATCCCAGAGGCCCTGAAAAATACACGTGAACATTTTGTCGCGCTG